TGTGTGTAAGCACAAATTTTTGTTTTCGTCGGATATATTATAATTTTGTAGAAATTGTGAGATAAAATGATGATAAATTGTACATAAAATATATTAACTATATATATATAATATTTTGATTTTATTATTAAAAAAAAAACTGTCATAATAATATTAGCTTCTATAAACGCTGCCGCAGTGACAACTCACGGCGTTACACTTCATATTAACGAAGTTAAACGTGGCAGACATACCCTTTACAAAGTTTCGGTATTGATTTGAAACAGCAAAAATAATTTCTATGGAATAAATGTTTCATTTAAGCCAGCGCTTTTCTCTTTTTTCACCTGGTTCATTGACCTGAAGTACCTTTTAACCCAGGTGATAATTGTTAATATTAGTTCATCGCAATACCAAGACTCCTTTCCTCCACGACTCTGCCGTAAATGTTGCCCCTAAGTTGCAGACCATAATACGCTTCCAACGCGGACTATAGTCCATTTCGAGTGGCTACCTCAGCCGAGAGTTCTTCTGAGCGTTACCTTAAAAGACCAAGCCCCACCTCCAGAATAAGGTGAGAACCCGGTCTTTTTATATTAAGGAACCTAGCTTATAAGCTACCGATACTCTTTCTTCGCAGGTGATTAAAAATCTAGTTTTTTTTTCAGTTAATAATCAACTCTGAAATAAAATAACGCATTTGGTACACACTTTGTTGCCTCATATGGCTAGCGTACTCTTAACACCAGGTCTGTGTGTTCACCTTGCTATTAACATACATTTCGTATCCACAATACCAGATTTTTTTACGTAAATTTACTGTTAAGTCTTTTAAGTGGGTGGGCCAAATAAAAAGCTTAAAGTTCAAGCTGTTTTATTAATAGATTTTATATATACATACAGATAACCTACTTTCTTAATTTATATTTGTTTTCCTTCTATAGACCGACAAGGCTATCTGACCCGGTGGGCATAAGTTAAAGTAAATTATGACAGCTCACTAACGCCCCTCTGTCAACGTCAAAAAATGTAACAAGATCATCTTTGTACTGTAGCCGTCATTTCATTTTTTTCTTTTATATAATTATTTATGTCTAGATAGGTTTTATGTATTTTGACAGAACCAACCATGGTAGCAGCGCCACACTCACCGCAAAGATATCCTTGTTTGACTGTACTGTTGTAATTTTATAATCATATACAACCTAAAACTTCTTTCTTTATACAAATAACTCTGTACCTAGTTGGAAACCTAAGTACTGTTAGCGTTGATTTCCATTACCAAAACCCACAGACAAAATATATTTTACTTTATTTTGTTTCAAAAGTTTCTGTGTGTACTTTAAATTAGTTAATGCTTTTAGGTTATGAGTTATTTGTTGACTTTAGTTGATAATTTCCAAACGCTTTCAAAATATTTGTACGACGTACTCTGACTGTAATTACAATATAATTAATAAGTTAAAATATTAATAAATATATTGTATAAACAACGAATAATATAAATACTATTAAAATATCAGATTGATATGTTTCATTTTAATTTATTACAAATTAAAAACTTGTAAATTCAACTATTAAGGAAATTGTTTTGCTAAAAGCATAACAACTAACCTTTTTAAAATTGTATATAGTAAAAATCTGTATGTATGTTTGACAATGACGAGACATACAAATTCAGTAGCGTAATCTATTGGTTAAAAAAGTGTCTGATCGTGAAATTCTAACGAAGTGACATTTTTATTGACAGATATCGTTGTCTCTAATTTTTTAAACAACATGTAAGGGATGACGATATGTGTCAATTCAGGTGTGACCGCTCTAATGTCCGGTTTACATTATTCCAGTAAAAAAGATCGAAATCAACGCTGGATTACAACTGAAAAAATGTAAACCCACAGGTATTCACACAATGCGATCCAGCACAGACAGCAATCACTGGACTGGAATCATGTAAACCGGGCATTTTACCTATCAATGATTTCATAACGTTAGATAAATCGGTAATATGGTTGTGAAAATGTACCGATTTGTAAGAGAATATTAGATATAGTTTTTATGTGGGAAAAGTACACATTTCTCGTGTATTTGATGTTGAAATAAATATAAAGAAAATAAAGCGATCTACATCTAAGTATATTGAAATGTTTTTATTTCCTATTAATATATACTTCACATAGAAAAAAAACAATAAAAAAAAACGTTTCTTGTAGTCTATTGTTCATTCGAGTACGGTGATATACTCCGTATAATTTATATGGTAAGTGGAAGCAATATTGTCTACCACAATTAAGCTATAACTTTAATTTTGGAGGGTTATACATATTATTCGGTTCTACGAATGACGTAATAATTGAGGGTATGTAATATAAATAGTTTAAGCAAACCGTAACTGAGATATGATAATAATTTTAATAATAGTAATTTAAATAAACATCCGGAATATACTTTGTTTAGAATGTAATAACAATAAAGCCACGATGAAAACGTACAATAATTGTATTTCGGGTGTGAAAATAAACAAGTTGAATAAACAGTATCGATCAGTGAAATGTGCAAATTTAGCGAACTCTCGGATATATGGGGGCGTGAGTACCTATTGAATTGTCATAGTATAAATTAAATTGATGATTTAAATTAAATTTGAGTAGAATTGTGTAAATTTACATGACCTTGGAGTGACACGACTATGACGTCATTGGGCAGTGGTTATTTGCGCAACCTTCTACTTAAGAGGCGATGTCATTTAGAGGTAAGTCAATATTATAATACTTAAAATTACAAACGCTTAAAGTACAAGACTTTTTAAATAGAAATGTACTTTAACTCGCGTGAATTATGAAAGCAATGCTCTGAAATTTGTTCTTTTTAGTGAAGCGTAAACTTTTTAAACAACGTTTATTTGTAATTTAAATATTTGAATTCAAAAAAATGTATACGTAACTTTTATTTGGTACTTTAAATCTGAACATTTAGCGAATTCCCGCGTACTCAACGTGTAAAATTTTGTTTGATATGTAATGTTATAAGCTATAAAAATACGAATTATATGTATATATTACTTATAAGATATTATAACATCGAATTGTCGAGACAAGCGGGTGATGAACTGTACGGTAATATTTCTTTCGTATCATCATCATCATCATATTCAGCCTAAATTCATCCACTGCTGAACGTAGGCCTCCTCCATCGATTGTCACAATGCCCGGTCCTGTGCCGCCCACATCCAGTATAACCCTAAACAGATTTAATTACTGCATTACACTAGCTGTCGCCCGCGACTTCATCCGCGCGGAATCAATAATAAACTTAATTTGAAGCCTACGTGTTCTTCTAAACTATACTCTACATCTATGCTTAATTTCATCGAAAGAGAGAAGAGAGTGTGAGGTTTTAAAGATAGTTTCTAACAAACTTCCATCCATCCATTCATCTAAACATTCTCATTTATTAGATTAGTAAGATAAAACCTGATCCTACGTAAAGTTTGTATCAATATAATGTTATATAAGTTTAAATTTTTTATATGATGCAAACACAGAAATAAAAGAACAGAGATCTCGTCAGATTGTTAAGGACAGAATACTAATTAGGTCAACTAGATGTTACAAAGGCCGTTTAAGTAGCCTTTTGAAAACTGTTGAATTTTTTTTTCTCTTTTTAATTTCCCTTTTAAAAGAGAATTGTATCGTTTTATCTTTTATACAAAGAAAAGGATAAAATAAAATATGAATCGTATTGATATAAAATACAATATCATTCTCTAATATTAGAAAGAATATTAGAAATTGTTGTATTGTCATGTTTGAATGGCTTTATATACAATAGTTACCTGAAGAGCGGTTGAGTTAATCCATTTTATTTTTAAATAATACTGGCGTTTTATTCCTTTTACCATCTAATCTTTTAATATGTTAAACTATTTAACTCACCCATTACTATTATTATATAAATCATACTTCATATAATAATAATATGTTTGGATGGATGGATGTTTGTTTGAAGATATCTCCAGAACAGCTGCGTGGATCTCGCTGAAATTTGGCACAAATGTATAACATAGACTGGAAGACCACACAGGCTACTTATTAAGTTTTTTAATTCCGCGCGGACGGCGTCGCGGGCGACAGCTAGTCTTTTAATATTAGTCATTTTAAGACAAGGCTCATTACCTTCAACGTTTCTCTCTTTAATCTTAGCAATTGATTTCTTTTTAACGCCCTTAACAGAATCAATGGAAACTCGATAATAAAATTGCCTGTAACTACTTTCAGTTACTTACGAAATTCAATAGACACAGACGTAAGTCAAATTAAATTAACTGAACTTGGCAAAAAAAGGTCGACTCAGGTGCTTGCTTTTGGCAAAATAACAAGAGAACAATTTTATTTATACACAATTTTATTTTAAAAAGCTAACACATTTAATTAATCTAATATTTTTCACAAAGATCGATGTATTCATGCAAGTGAAGTCCTTTACTCTAGTAAAAGAGCCAAGGAAAGAATGAATATTGTAAACTTTGGGTGTAATAATTAAAATTTCATTTTCAATATTTTTTTATTATAAAATCTAACTAAATAATAAGTAGCGTAGGAAGTGTGTAAATTCAGATATGACGGCTGATAGAGATGTGAGCGTCAGTGGCTCAGTGGTCAAGCACTTGACTTGCAATCTGCAGGTCCTGGGTTCGAATCCCACCATGTACCAATGTGTTTTTCGATATCCGATTAACATATGTACATTTATCCGACGTTCTTACGGTGAAGGAACACATCGTGATGCTACATATCGGAGAAGTAATTCAAAGATAGGTGTAAAGTCAATCAACCCGCACTTGGCCAGCGTGGTTGACTATGGCCTAATCGCCCTTAACTTAGGGTAGGCTCCGAGCCCCTCGGTAGGGACGTATAGTGAGCTGATGATGATGATAATGATGCTAGTATGAAGTTTAAAATATTACAATATCAATAAAATAAACGGTTTAAGAAGGCATTTTCTCTAAGGATTCTTGAAACTCATTTATAAAATACTGCAAATATCGAATACGTCAATCTGGCAACCTGAAAAATTAGATATAAAAAAAATTAAGATTAAAACCTTAATAGACCTTCAAGGTAAATTAAGATGTTACTTTTTAAAAAGGACAGATTCCCCGAAATATAACAGCTCCGAAAAAAGTCTCTGATATCATTATTGCGCCAATAAGGAAATTCAAAGTCGTAATTGGGCAATTGCTTTATTGAGAGTTTAGATAAAAAAATTGTCAAAATATTTTATAAATTGAAACTGAATCGCGTTTAGGATGTTATTAACAAGACTGTATAATAATGGTAGCCAAGATTAATTTATTATTTACTAGCTTTTGCCCGCAACTATAATACATTAGCGGGAAATTGAAAAAAAACTATTTAGTCTATGCGGTTCTTTCAGATAGTGTTCTACATTCAAGTTTCAACCAGATACGCGCAGTCGTTTTGGAGGTACCTACTAACAAACATCCATCCAAACTTTTGCATTCGTAATATTAGTAAAGTGATATTATTGTTTTGTAAAACTTACCGAAACAAAAGTCGCATACGATAATTCTTGTATAGCGAACGCTTTAAGAATAAGTGACTTCTGCGCTTGCGCACTACTAATGAGCACCAGGTACTTGATGTCCCTTTGATGCTGTGGAAACATGTTGCATAGATGCCACCCACAGGAATATATTTCAAAAGATAAAAGCGAAGCCTGGAAAGAAATTATAATCATTCAAAAACTTCACTAGATGTCGCTCGCGTATTCGACCGCGCGTAATTAAAAAAAAACTTAATTAGTAGCCTATGTGTTCTTCCAGCCTATGTTCTACGTCTATGTTAAATTTCATCGAGATCGGTTAAGCAGTTCTGGAGATACTTTCAAACAAACATCCATCCATCTAAACATTCGCATTTATATAATAATATTAATAAGAAGTAAGGTTGCTTCTAAACATCTACAGATCTATCCTAGTATTATAGTGTCAACTTTACAAATCTATATATATAAAAGAAAGTCGTATTAGTTACACTATTTATAACTCGAAAACGGCTTTACTAATATGGCTGAAAATTGGTGAGAAGGTAGCATAGAGCCAGGAGACGAATTTTTCGAATTTATGCCTAGAAGAGCTGCTTTTTATTTAACTAACTAATATTATAAATGCGAATGTTTAGATGGATGTGATGTGGATGGATAGATTCGTGGGCTACACTAATTAAGTTTTTTATATATCCACGCGGACGGATTCGCGGGCGACAGCTAGTATTTTAATAAAAATCTTATATTCATAATATTAAAAAATATCGTTTTGTTAGTTCAGCCAAAATTGCCATATGGAGTGGTAATATTAATAATGTTGGTCTCGAAACTTTGACTAGAATTAGTTTGGTAAGTTATAAATAAATATCAATGTAATATCGAATATGCTATTCGACCTTTCGATACTATGAGTGTGATTACTTAACTTGTACTTCTAATTCAATAAACGTACCTGGTAAGTATAATTAAATGTACGTACCTGGTAAGTATAATTTGTACGCACCTGGTAAGTAATTTCACCGGCATTCCAAAGGTTAAGTGCCAACAAAATGAATAGGGAACTTACAAATGTGTACGTCATTATCGCATCTGTTAAATTTTGTCGCGGAGATATCTGTAACGTTTAAAATAAATTATTTATATTAAAAAAAATATTGCGAAACCAAACATTGTTCACAAATATATTGTAAAGAGTAAGAAAAGAGAGAGAAAGTATGATAATATTCACTAATTAGCTTTGCCGCGACTTTGTCCGTGTGGAATACTGTCTTCGGGTAGCATTTTTAGTATTTAGCCCAATGATTTTACTTATAAAACATTATAGCAAAACATATTTATTAAACCTACAAAAAATTCACATTTACTTAAGCGTAAAACTTTTACTAACTTATTCATATTAATTTATATAAGAAATAAATCTTCAAACCCTTTTATTATTAAAAAGCAACCTATCATGCTTTACTATGTACATTAATCGCGAGAAGTGGTACAGACAGAAAAACAGACAAACTTACTTACGCATTTATAATATTAATCTAGTAGACTGCTAAGTTAAGTCATAGTTAAGCTTAACCTTTAAGTGACTGATGATAGTATTTGTGTTCTGGTATAAAAATATATTCATGCGAACTCATTACAAAATATGCAAAAAAATACAATATACATAAAAGTCGTCGTCATCTTTTTTTAGAACTGTGTGGACGAGAAACAATTAAGCTCTAAATTTTTAATGTTGTTTTATTCGGCGCATGTCGATAAATATAGCTAGGTGGAAGTCTGGTGAAATTTTTTGACTTAAGTGAAACTGTCTGGAAAATTTAACCAAACTAGCGGTAGACCATTACAAATCCGACCGTAATATTTTCAGTCTATACTAATATTATAACGCGGAAGAGTTTGTTTCTTCATAGGCCATTAATAGAGGATGGCTTTATGCTATATAGCATTACGCTGCGACCAATAGTTTATGTTCAATTCCGCACGGACGGATTCGCGGGCGACGGCTAGTAATAAAATATTTTTTAATTAAAAATACGGTTATGTACTTCTTCACGTTATCTTTGACTTTTGTTTAATCCGTAAGCGTAATTTTCTTCAAAAACGGTACAAAATTTTGCCCTAAATTTTAATATAATTTATGAGTTATTAGTTAACAAGTCATAATGAAGCCAGTCTTATAATGCGTACGGCTTTTGTTTCCATTGAAAATCACTTTATTGAGTTGTGTCATAAAATCGTTATTATAATAATTGCAAAATTAAATCTTAACTTACTGCTAATCTTAAAAGTAATAAAACAGCCACAGCCGAACTCTCGCACACTTGTAGAGACATTATAATACCAAAAACGCGATTTACTTCTTTTATTAATCTGTGAAAAATAAAAGCACAAAAGTCAATTTTCGTTCACGTTCATTGCTACCGACTTGTTTGAACTTTCATTGTAAAAATTCTCGTGACTTGGAACGTGTTTATTATTTTAAACCGTTTTTACAAAACTTACAAGATCAGTTTGCGATGCATTAGAATTCCTTGCATGCAACCAAATTTCAGCTTTAACACGGCAGATTCTTTCCTCATATTAGTTTTATTTCGAGTGAAATCTTTGCTTATATTCTTAAAATGGTTGCAAAGCGTTATAAACTTATATGCCATAATAATAAGATGCACAATTGGCAGACAGTCTGCTGCCATCATTGGCAACATCATGTACAACCATGTCATATAGAAAAACACTCTTAATGCACTCGCCACGTCAGTTGTACTGTTATAACTTGGGTAATATGTCACTACGGTATAAAATGGGGTACCTGGAATAAAACAAAATATATTTTTAAACTAATTAAAATCCTGGGTTCAAATGCCACCATGTAATAACTTTTTTTTACGATACATATGTACATTTAACCCTGGTTGTTACGGTGAAGGAAAACATCTTGATGCAACCTGCATATATCGGTGAGGAAAATCAAAGATATGTGTGAAGTCAACCAGCACTTGATCAGCGTGGTTGACTATGGGTTAATCACCCCTGACTTATGGTAGGCTCCGAGCTCCTGCTGGGGACGTATGGTGAGCCGATGATGATGATGCAAATGTTAAAATAAATAGTATAAATAATAAGTTAAAAATTAAAAAAAAAATGTGTAAATATATTTACCTTCGGTGACACATTTGCTCAAGCTGTCTACACCATAAGCAAGTAGAGATAAATAAACTGACACGACATACAAAAGGAGTCCATATTTGACTTTTTTATATTGCTTATTCATTGTAACATCATCTTCCATGTCAGCACCAAGTAGAGCCATCTCACTATTTAATTTCCTTATAGATTTTTTATGATATAAAAGTAAAAACATTTTAGCCAATACCGTGTTATGTATCACGGAAAACATGACGGATGAATTCTTCTCAACTTTCGGGAAATCACCAAAACAAGCGGCGAGATTTTCAAGAAGTACCATAATTATGTAAGCAGTGAATGTTATAATCATATAAATATTACGTAATTTCACAGAACCCTCGTTCCAGTAATCCCCAAGTCCCGTATTATTAATTAATTTACAAATTTTCTTAAGTAACATTTTTGTACTTTTAGACATTATAAAGGAAACCTTTAAGGCACGTTCATTCAATTGAAAAGTCTTAATAACTTTGCTTTCGTAATTAAAGGTATCTTATATATTCGTTGTAGATGGAAAATTAATTAAACTTTTCTATAGTTCTAAGAAGTTTTGATGTAATTGATCCATAAACACTAGTCGAGTTTCCTAACAGAAATTAATGGTAGCATTAATAACGTACCGACGGAATTATAGAAAACTTTTTTCTTATACATTGTAATTTATGACTGGCTGAATATAATTTATATTTCGAAATTAGGGAGTGGCTTTAAAGGCTCTCTAACTTAATTGTTCGCGTTAATTGGTGTAGACCTCTTACCGTGGGTTTTTGAAATCAGAATGTCTGTATAAAATATATCGTCATCCCTGTCTTTCATCTTTGACAAAACAGAGATAACGATAGGTTTTAAACGGGGATTTTGGTTTCAGAAACCTAAGGTTACTGACCATTAAGCGACTGATCGTGACATGTGATAAGAAATATTTGAGACAAAATATACAGAGAATAAATTTTGCTATATTATTTAAATCTTACTTCTTATACTAATATTATAAATGCGAAATGTTTAAATGGATGGATGGATGTATGAAGCTATCTCCGGAAGGGCCTCAACAAATCTTGATGACAATTAACACAGATGTAGAACATAGACTGGAAGAACACACAGGGTACATATTTGTTCTTTTTTTAATTCCATACGGACGAAGTTGAGGGCCAAAAAATAGATTTCTAACACCGATGATTTTAAAAATGCTTATAACATAGCTAGAATAACAAGTAATTGTTACAAAAATCAAATTGAGTGAAGGAAAATGAAGTTCACGTTTGATAAGTCGAGTACAAAACACGTTCGCGTGTTTTCCAGTAATAAGAAACGGCGTTTGCCGTTACTTCTAATTAATGGTGGTTTTCTACGAGAACCAAGACAATATATCGTTATGGTAACGCCTATTGATGATAGAATTGAAAGTGATAAGGCCGCCTTACGGTCTTTCAAGACGTTATTTCGTGTAATTAACTAACGACTAACAACCTTAAATATTTGACTCTTATTGAGATTTGTGAAAAATCGTGTAGCCCTTTTACATATCTTACTAATATTATAAATGCGAATGTTTAGATGGATACTACCTATACAAATACGTAGTGTTAGAAACAAAAACCGACACTGTGCCGGTGTACTGGCGCAACACTAGCCTTACTAAAATGTCAACGTTTATGTCCCCTCACTAATCAATCTGACACTTGACTTTGTAACGAAAGCACGCCATTCGCGTCAAATGATTCTAACTAATAATGCCTAAAAAAAGTGAAACAAAAAGGATTAAATGGCGAAATGTAATAAAATTCAGTTTTTTTTTTAATCTATAAATAAAAAAATGGGTAAAATTTGTCGCCCCTTAAAATAAGCCGGCCTTGTCTCCAGCGTACTCAGTCTTCTGGTAAATCCGCCAATGGGATGGATGTTTGTTTGAAGATATCTTCAGACCGGCTTAACAGATCTCGCTGAAATTTGGTATACATATAGAACATAATTTGGAAGAACACATAGGCTAATAATTATGTTCTTTTTAATTCTGCGTGGACGAAGTCGCAGGCGACAGCTAGTTATATTATAACTTTGTCTTTTTACTGTTAAATTATTAATCTAATGTCTATTAAAATATTACATTAATTAGTAACTAAACATAATTTACCCAAAACGAAATGAAAATAGAAGCCAACTTTTCCAAATATTTTTTACCTCAAGTAATTTATAAATGTTGGACACAAAAGAAATACCGTAAATAATTCTCTAATTGCGGTGTCCCAATTTAACTTTGTTTTAAATATTGCTAATTAATATTATCTCTTAAAATTTGGCGATTTTTATACACTAAATATGATGTTACTTTTTGAAAAAGATAATAAAGAAATTACTTACGTTCCAGATAAAATAGAACCGTACACAAAAGTAATCAGTTTATTATTTAAATAAATAAAAACAAATTACATCTTATTTGCCTTGTTATTGTCCTTTCCCTCGTCCAGAATAATTTTCCTGCCTTAATTTTTTCGAACCCTTCCTCATCTTGCGATCCTCACGTGATCGGACGATCCCTAAACAATAACATTGGCAACAAAAGATTGTTTTCGCTGGCGAAAAAGATGGATATATTATATCGTTTTCTGTTTTTTAAATAGAATGACATACATAATAGGTTTTATTGTTCAAGTGCAATTGAAACTCAAATAAGAAATGGTCGAGGCAATATTAAACATGCCAATGCAAATCCCCCTTTACTGAAATAAAAAAATAGTTAACATGCAGTTGTATTCAATATTTGTACTAATTATTTAACTAGTGTTCTGAAGATGTAAATAAAAGAATAATATAATTGATTGGTTAGATTTAAATACTAGAAAATGAACACTTAATTAGCTGAAACGCCAAGACGAATTAGGTTACGCTGAAGTGATGGGGCGTGCTCGCGCGGTGCACTCGCCGCCAAAGCTACGCTGCAAATTCTCTGGTTAATGTTCAAACTTAAATTGAGGCATGTTTGTTTTGTTCGTAAATAGGCAACAGTTAATTAAAAAACTAGAAATCCAACCACTTGTACCAAGTTCGGAAGAATACGAATCTAATGAAATGACATGACCACAAAATCTCTGTTTGTCTATTTGTATGTCGCGTTTGTTTCAACATTTTTTTTTGCGTCGCGCGCTACCGCTTGTTTTGTAATAAAGTAACTCGTAGACATGGATAATATGATTAAAGGCCGACCCTGTATAGCGATATCTAATTTTCTCCCGGACGATATTTTCTTATAATTCAAACGACCTTTTTAACCTTCCAGGAACTAAGAAGTGTAAAACATTTTCATCTAGTAAATCCAATACCAAGAAAATAAATGAAATCTTACAATACATTTAATTACGTATCTCTTATACAAAGTAATAATCTTCGGTTCCCTCACGGTTGATTATGGCTATAATCGTTTTTCAGGAATATGAGATTAAAACACACTTTATTTATAATACTACATAATTTATTTACTACATAATGTAACATATTGTTATGTTTTGCAAAACAGCTACTAAAATAATATTTTACCTACTATAATAAGAATGCAAAAACAACACAACAATTTAATGATTCTTTCTTGGTGCATAAACTAAACTAAAGGGTCATGTTTCACCAAATTACGTATTTAATTAGAAAGCAAAGCTTTTTAGTATGATATTATTTACGTCTGCTCTCATATTTACTTGTCCAGAACATTATTTTTCATATTTCTCATAACAGCAAAAGCTTTATACGACCAATTAATTAGCTGAAAGAATACCCATATTATTTAATTATTATTTAAATATTTGAAGAAATATATAAAAAAACTTACGTTGGTATATGTGCTTAGAGAGAGGGAAAAATACTTTCCAGCTGTTATTAAAAGAGGGCGCTTGCATCGTTCCATGAATATAATTATATACATCTTTGTCGTTTGATCTATGTTTAACCAAGGACTATCAAATGTTGCGTTTCGAAGTTCCAGACTCTGTTGAATATAACTTTTGTTTATATTTCTTTATTAACAACAAGTAACACATTAAAAGCAATAGCCTTATATTTCCAACTTATATACTATTACATGCGCTACTCCGTCCGCGCGGGATTAAAAATAGATGTTAGCCGATTCTCAGACCTACTCAATATGCTCACAAAATTTCATGAGAATCGGTCAAGCCGTTTCGGAGGAGTATGGGAACGAAAATGATGACACAATAATTTTATAAATAAGATAGAGATATAACAAGATACATTCTGTAATGATCTTGTACCATGGCTCGAATTGCTTGTACATAATATTGTGGCGAATAATTACTATTTTAGCGTATACATTGCCAATTAAGCTTTATCGCAGCATATAATTCCGCTCTAGACGTAACCACGAACAAACGCTCGTAGATAACTAAGAGCCATCGTAATATTTGAATCGAATTATATTTAAAAATGTAAACAATACTTACTTTTAAAATCAATTCATTACCAAACCAACACAATATGAATACTTCTGTCAACATGCATGTTAAATATACAGCCATCCACATTATTTGCATGCAGTGATCTAAATGGTGTTCGATCTAGAATTAGAATTAGAATCTAGAATAGTTAGGAAAATTCTATGATCGTATAAAATGGGTTCGCATTTGCGACAGTTTCTATGACTTGATATATTGCGACACGGACTTCTTTATACAATCGCTTGATGACGCCCGCGACTTCGTCTACACTGAATTAAAAAAAAAACTCAGTGAGTAGCCTATCTCTTCCAGACTATATTCAACATCTGTGTTAAATTTCATCAAGATACGTTGCGCTGTTCCTGAGATATTTTCAAACATCCATCCATATAAACATTCGCATTTATAATATAAGTAGTAAGTATTTATTTGATTGCTATTGGACAGTGAGAACATAAAACACATTCGATTCCCCGTTTCTTATGATGAGTGTGTGTCCGATGTGTAATTTTATGTCACATTCCTTTCCCGTCGCTTTTCTTTAAGGAAGAAGTGGGTAGGAGACGTGAACTTTGCGGAGAAGGAGACGCAAATAAAGGAGAAATGTCCGCTTTCTTTGAGGTCCCTCCTCCGTGGATTAAAGGTAGGCAACGCATCTACAATTGCGGCTCACGGACAGTGGTCGCTCTGCTATTTTGGCCTTTTTGTTGGCTGCTTGCTCGTTTATGCTAAATATAATAAACAACGAGTTAACTCACCGATAAAAAATTAATTCCTACTAAACAAAGTACCATGACACTTAACATAAACTGTAGAGCTGACGACAAACTGAATGCCGATTCTATCATTGTGATATACCTGAAATAGACATATAAATGTCACCGACAAATTGTGAACGGCGCACTTTTATTATTTGCTTAGAAAAAAAAGGTAGTGAGCGAATTTTTTATTCAACGTATTAATTCGCAAAGTGCCGTATACGCCGTTTTCGTGTCATGACATCTTCATGATTTGTCGGGGACCCACGTACTATACCGTTTTTTAATACAAAAATCTAAAAATTGTAAAACCTTATGATAGCATCATGATGTTTAATACAGTTTTTCAAAACACATTTCACATGATCATTGCGAAAATTATGACTTCGTGAAAAAATTTTTGATTGTCTTTTGTCGCGACGTTTGGCCATTGTTTTAAAATTTCTCAAATTAAACGATAAAATTTCTATTTGTCCAACTGAAACAAAAGAAAACATATTTAAATAATCTCTAATAGAGAAATAAGACCTACTACTTGTTCTAAATAAAAGCCAAAATATTGATAATATGCACGCTGTACATTTTGTACTAAAACTCAAAAATCCCAAAATATTTACCGAAATCTCATGTGACCATAAAACCTTTAACTGCCCATATAATTCATCTTCTTTCTATCTCATAATTTCTACAAAATTAATAGAATTAAATAGTCTAGTGTAAAATATTTTTTTTAATTTCAATAACGCAACGACTCTACAACTAGATTTTAAATTAGACTAGATTCAAACACTTACTAGCAGATGCGACAAAAGCGGCCAATATTGTATCCATAACACCGTCAATAATGCATGTAGCGGGCTTGTAATATATCTGCGTACAGGAAATTATTGTTAAACTCGATATACTAACTTAATCTGTTGTAAAATCTGTCGTGACGTATGGATCCGAATATTAGGCTGTTAAATTGAAGGATGAGAAGAGGGCATGTGGCGAAAATGTGAATGGATGGATGTGTGAAGTAACAAGAGTAGAATAGATAGGATACGAAATGAGTATATTAGATTAAATCTTAAAGTAGCACCAGTAGACGAGAAATTAAGAAGTAAATTGTAAGCGTGGAATGGGCATGATATGAGGAGGAAGGAATCGTATGTGACAAGAAGAGCTTTAGTTATAAGTATTGTTAGGAAGAATATCCGACACTGTGCCGGTGTATTCGCGCAACACTAGCCTTATTAAAATGTCGACGTTTATGTCCCCTTACTAATCATTCTGACAATTGACTTTGTAAAGCGCGCCATTCGCGCCAAAGGATTGTAACTAATAATGTCTAAAAGTATAGAGAAATACACACGTAGAGTTGGACTAAGGCATAGGAGGATATAGATGGATTGCGTGAAAGGTGACATGAGAAAGAAGGGAATGACGACTGAGATGACGGAAGTTACATTCATATGGAGGACGAATAGCGTATACCGACCCTACGTAAGTGGGATAAGGTCAAGGAGATGATGATATCCAAGATAGGAAACACAAAGCAATTTGCAAGATTTATTTTAATAAAAAAAATAGATTGGAATAAACTTACATGATGAAGATATATGAAGTAATATGTGGGTGATTTATAAACATCGATATATGGATATTCAACGTTCGTTGGTAATATTATAAAGTTCTCAGTTATTGGCATTAATATTCCCACTGGAACAACAAACGGTTTAGTTACAGTTATCTAGTTAGCACCTGTTCAAATATAATGCTAATTGTATGTAACAGAAACATATTTTATTTTAAAACACTCCAGTGAAAATTTATTTTACAAAATCCGCACTTTCCGGTGAACGATGAAAAGATTCAACAGCTTAACTGAGAATAGATTTTATAAAACTATAATACTTTTCCACTTGTATTTCCTTGAAATAGACAGATAAGCCTTTCACTGACAAGCAGAAAAAAATTATAAGCATATTTCAGCTTTCAGTTGCTTTATTTTTTCATAAATAATAATATTTAAAATGATAAAATAACCTAGGCAATTTATAAAGGTAATCGTTAATTATGAAAATAAAAGATCAACGACGAAATGATATCCGACGACAGTCATCGTTTCTTTACTTCGCTTTTTATAATAGTAAATTTGGCATCGTAGCTTGGTGGTCCAAGGAAAAGTAGAGGGCACCAGACCACGGGGAACATTGCCCATGAGATGGATTGACCAAATCAGGGTGGTTGTAGATGTCTCCCTGCACCAATGTACAAAAAGACTAGGGAGGAGTGGCCATGCTTTGTGAAGCGGGTCACCGATACCTGACCACTATGAGTCGGAAAATACTGCAGCGACGCAGAAGTATATTATTTCTGGTTTGTGTATGTATGTAGCATACCTGAGACGGCACCAACACACATCATCGTATACGCACTCATCACGAAACGAGCCGTTTTGATTCTTCTCTTAATAATTTCATTGTGTTCGATCTCTTGGGGCTTAAATTCAGGACAGTTCATGAAATTTAACAAATTTAAAATCTCTTTCTTCTTGTACCAGAAAACAATTAGTTTGAAATACGTATACATTTCACTAAGAAATAAATAGAGCCTGAAATAATTGGTAGATTAATATTTTAACTCTAGTAGACTTTGATTAACAAAATATTTTATACAAAGCTTCTTAATGTCTAGAAATACCGAGTACATTAATAAATGAGAAAGCTTGTCTTACTTCTTACTATTTTACTAATATTATAAGTATTAGTAAAATAGTAAGAAGTATATAGTTTGAAGGTACGGATGAACAGATCGCGATGAAATTTGGCATACAGAACGTAGTCTGGAAGAACACATAGGCTACTAATTATGTTTTATTAAATTTCCGCGCGAAAGGGGTCGCGAGTGACAGCTACTTTTTTAATAAATAGTTACCCTTCTGCAATATGACCGATGTTTCCACCACGACGTAATAAGTAATATATTTCTCCGATACACGGTATTATACAAACAAGCCAAAGTACTATGAAAGTGTACATTATTTTAAGCCAAAAGTTAAGTTCCTTCCACGAATTATTGTTATACCACATTCCGTAGAACTTCAACCAGAATATGTGTACGCTAACGTAATTTATTGGATCAAGCTCATCTCGTGTTTCAATTAAATTGTAGCTTAGAAATTTTGATAGTATTTTAAAAAAAAATCTCGATAAAGAAATCATTTTTTTCAAATATTAGAAGTCGAAGTGAAATGGATTGTGTCGACAAAACGTCGTCGGATAATGTAAATCTTTCCAGTTAACTTACTTATATATAAAACACTTTATTAAGGCGGAGCCATTTCTCCCTCCGGTTATGTTGTACTAGCTGTTCTTTCAGACTATGTTTTACATCTATACCAAATTTCATCAAGTTCCATTGAGGCGTTCTAGTGATACCTTTTAACAAACATCCATCCATCTATCCAGCCATCTAAACTTTCGCATTTATAATATTAGTAAGATTATTAAATGATCTGATGATCAAAAAATTATCAATTTAGTAAATTTTACGGTCTTATTAAAATGGCTTTTAATTAACAATTATTTTAGTTACTTGAAAAACAAAAAGAAATGCATTTCAAATTATTATTTTTGTTGAATAAAATATACTGTTTTTTATATGATATAGCATACAGTGTAAATTGCCTCCACGCCTTTGACAAATATGCACAACAGTGTCGAAATATTCCGCGGCCATTTTATACAAATGTTAGTGAATATTGTTGCAGCTTTAAATATTCTACCACAACATTTTATACTGTATTTCTTTAAAAATTGAAAGATTTACTTTATATTGTTACATTATTGTAACTCAAACTAAATGATTTCAAGAATATAACTTACTTACTTACTCAGCTGGCGCATCGACCCACGACACAAGAGATCGCCAAAATCGCCTGTCTTGTGCCTTCTCCTGCCAGTCCATCGCTTGTAGCTCCCCCAGATCAGTAAAAATCAAGAGGGCATACTAAATCCACAAAACTTTCTTTGTTTATTTGTATATTATATTGTATAATAGCTGTCGTCTGCGACTCCGACCGCGCGGAATTAAAAAAAAAAACATAATAAGTAGTCTATGTTTTCTTGCAAAGTATGTTCTATATCTATATCAAATTTTAGCGATATCCATGCAATCGTTCTGAAGATACCTTCAAACATAAATCTATTCATCTAAACATTCGAATTTATAATATTAGTAAGTTAAGATAAGCTTAATAAAACATATACATAAATTTATTGAAAAATGTTGAGCCTTAAATCGGTTCATTAGAAATGTTGTTTGTGGCAATTACAATAATTACCGCAGCGATATAATTATTTACTAAAACAAAGTGTAATGATGAAATAATAAGCCATTTGTAACGTATAAAGAGACTTTTAAGTAGAAACATATACAATTTTGTGATAGATTTAGAAAGTAACACAAAGAACCTTTTTAGAACTTTGTAACATTTTTAATAACAAATGAACGGGCATGGGGTTGGATTGTGTACTGCAAATGGGAATGTTAGCCACACTGTCTCGAGTGGGTATAAGCCAATGACCTCCACATTCCACTCCCATAGTATCTATTTAATTTTCATCATTTTGATGATGATTACAACCGTATTAGAAACATAGACTAATAATAGAGATTAAATTATCCGATAGTGACTTCAACTTGACTTGTAATCTACAGGTCCTGGTTTTGAATTCATGTACCAATGTGTTTTTTACTTACGATTGACATTGAAACAATGTTGCAACCTACACATATCTGCAACACATTTAAAATTATATGTGAAGTCAACCAAGCCGAACTGGGCCAGCGTGGTTGACTATGGCCTAGTCACATGTAACTTAGGGTAGTAACGTAGGCTATCAGTGGGGACGTATAGTGAGCTGATGATGATGATTTCAACTGGCACTTTTAAATCGAAACGAAGCGAAAGCTGGCATTTTTAAGAAGTAACCTATTCTCTATTGATATGTGACAAGTCAATGATCTGTCAGTACACAGTACGAATTGAGAGTCTACTAGAGATGTTTCTACTAAGCTTGGGGCTGATAACAGATCTATCGTACAGAGAATCGTATAAAGAAATAATATGCTTATTCTCTTCCCGTCTATTAAGGTTTATTCTGAAACAAGCTGTCGCCCGCAATTCTGATCGTGTGGAATTAGAAAAAAACTTTATTAGTAGCTTATGTGTTCTTCACGACTATGTTCTATATCTATATGCCAAATTTCAGCGAGATCCGTTAAGCCGTTCTAGAGATATTTTCATGCAAACATCCAAACATTCGCATATATCATATTAGTAAGAAGTAAGGTAAAGGTATATCCTTTATTGCAGATACCTATGGTACTTAATATTATTAACCTTTGTTATCTTCAGTAAATATTCTAATTTAGATAGTAATACCATGCTTGAATAATTTATTTCACTACATCATTACTTACCTACCCTTTTTGATGGATTACGATAAAAAATAAAACGTGAATTTTTTACTCAAATCGAACAAAGACAGTCGTTTAATGTAATTGAAAAACATTTTTCGATCTATTTTATACGAATCGGAGTGAATAGAATTCGGCTCGACAATGTATACGTAACTATATCGTTTATTATTGCAATAGCGCTCAGTTTAAAAAAAGGATTAATCGTTGTTAAAATCGTTGTGAATTGGAAATTAATTTTACAGTTATCAGGAAATTTTATAGTGATCTGGAAATTTAACAATCGTTTCTCTTGTAGAGGGATTTATTTTCGTATTAATATTTGAAAATGCTGGTTCTTTAATATACATTGTATTGATATGGTTCTACGAATTAAATGTATTTAGTTTTATCTTACTTATCTAACTAATATTATAAATGCGAATGTTTAGATGGATGGATGTTAGTTTGAAATTATTTCCGGAACGGCTTAACGGATTTTGATGAAAATTGGCACACATATAGAACATAGTTTGGCAGAACACATACTCTACTTATTATGTTTTTTTAATACCACGTTGACGGAGTCGCGGGCAACAACTATTCGTATATAATTCACAGAGGCTCAACCAAAAACGCATCTTAAGCGTGAAAATGGAAATGAAAATGGGCTGTTTAAACAAGAGAAATTACTTCAGTCGAATTTTTGCTTATTAGATGCATTCAACTGGTTGACGAATCGGATAAGCATGGACTGACATAAAATAGCGTATTAAGCGAGAAATCGTATTAAGCGTGTTCTAGTGTACATAAATTTGATAAATTAAAACAGAATTAGTTATAAACAAACTTTATTTAAAACATAATTATTATAAACATTAATTACAAAACTGTAAATCAATGCTATGTAGTTAGATTAAAGGTTAAATTTATGCTATTATTATCGGGAAAGTAAGAATAGGTTTGCATGTTTAAAACTGTATCAAATAATTAAATATTTCTTAAAATAAAATGTTGTTCAACAATATTAATGTGTTTGAGGGAACTTATAATAAACCTTACCGTATATTTATGATTATAAAACATGACAATCTATGTTTACTCTTATAAACTTGAGAATAAATAAACGCAAAATATATATTATTTTTTTAATTAAACTGATTGTAATTTGCGTAAGATAGTATATTGGATATCTAAATATATCTAAAATCAATTCCATTATTGACATGACGGAGGCTCCAATACATGTGTTCACCACACCACCACTTCTCACTGTAAAAAGATATATAACATGTATAGTATATGTCTGTAAAGGACGAATCAACCCTCACCTTCCTGCCCCTGCTTTGAGTCCTTAGATTCATTGGTAACACTTAAAATTCACTTGATGAATTAGAAGATCTTTAAATACACAGTTAATGTCGACAAATAGCCGTATAAAATTAAGTTTTTAAGATGATAAAATTTTTAATTCCTTTAAAAAATAACAATGAAAGTTTATCTTAAAATATGAACTAATTACATATTTATTTTATTAATAGAAAGCTCTTTTATAAGGGTAATGGCAACAATAACATCGCAAGAAGCTCTCGCTAAACAGTTGGATTAAGGCCCCGATACAAAAGGCAGTTATCTTAGAAACCGCACGCATCGCGAGAAGGTTCCTGTCTCTGCAGCCCTGACCACTGGTTGTTTGAGTCATGGGATTCCGCAGCCGGTGGTGCTCTATTTTTAATATAATATATTTTGTATAATTTTTTATTTTGGATATGAAATGTACTATATTAAGAACATAAATAAATGAATACGACAATAATAAGAACTGTATGTGATTAGATGTAAAGTCGTAGACAAACATAAGTTTACTTACAGAACATATCAGAAAAACTGAAGATCCTATCTCTTACAATTCTCATTTTCGGGAACGCAGTGAAAATAATTCTCACTCTACTAGCAGACGGCTCAGGTGTGTATTCCTCGCGATCTTTACGATAAATATCCGTCTCACAGTTACTTAAACAAGAGCAGTCTTTAGGAGTTCTAGGCAAGTGTGCTCTTGAAGAAAATTTCGTCAAAGTCTCATTCGATACGGATAGTGCCATGATCTCTTTTCTGTTATGAAAGAAACATGTAAGCTCGGATAGTTTACACGTGCGTTCATTTCCTGAAAAAAGAATATTTAAGAAAATTGTCACTGAAAAATATCGTCTATATATTGTAAAACGCGACAAAATATTGATTTTATGCCGCACCTGTTTTCTTGCAAACAAGTATAATTTTACGGTTACCGTGAAAAATATGTACAACATTTTTCATATCGTAATAATATAAATACCGTATATTTTCAAAATTTAAAACTATTAATCTATAAATGTAGTATACAAAAATATTTATATAGTATATATAAAAGAAAGTCGTGTTAGTTACACTATTTATAATACAAGAACGGCTTTACCGATATGGTTGAAAATTGGTGAGGAGGTAGCTTAGAGCCAGGAGACAGACATAGGATACTATTTATTCATTTTTGATTATTCAGCGTTGAAGAGCTGCTTTTTATTTTACTTATCTATATATTAAGTTTTTTTTATATATCCACGCAGACGGAGCTGCGGGCGACAGCTAGTTTATTATACAAAAGTTGGTTTATTAACGAGAAGCCTTTAATGCTGTACAATAATTTCATGCGAAACTCGTTTCTCTTTGTAAAACATTAAGCATTTCAAGGAAATTATAAATGAACTTTTGAATTCATTCAAAAAGCTTTTTTCAATTTATTCTACTTATATATAAAAGGAGTACTCTATGGAGTCTATTGGAGAATCATATATATGACTAACTGTAGCCCACGACTCCGTCCACGCGGAATTAAAAATAACGTAGTAAGTAAGAAGTAAGATTATACCATAGTTAGTTTAAGTAAATTACAGAATTTAAATCTCTACTGACCTGTGATCTTATAAAAATGAGGAACACAACCGCATAGCTTTAAAATTAACTGAATACGACATTCCAGTAAGCAATTATTGTATGAATACACGGGATACCTTGTACTTATAGGCTCGTCGATAAATCTAAAACAATTTAAAAATATACTTCACTAGCTGTCGCCCGCAACTCCGTCCGCGCGGAAGTAAAAAAAAACTTCATAAGTAGCCTATGTGTTCTTCCAGACTATGTTCCATATGTATGCCAAATTTCATCGCGATCTGTTCAGCCGTTCTAGAGATATCTCCAAACAAACATCCATCCATCCATTCAAACATTCGCTTTTATAATATTAGTATGAAGTAAGATTTGTTGTTTACAAGGTTGGTATTTCATTTGAAACGGGGTATTACAACCTGCATTGTCGGACTTGTATTGAAGCAGATCGCAGCTCCTTTGAGATTTTTGTACTCCATATTTGAAAGCCGTACGTCATAAAGCCATCCGAGTCCACGGTGTATGATGGAAAGGTGCTTATCATTGGCTCATTCGGACTGTGTACGTAAACCTGAGAAAAAGAAAATTGAAATAATTATTTTTGTAAAAAAACTTATATAAAAACGGCTAAACACTCACGTATTTTCGTTCGGTGGCGTCACAGACTAGTTTCGAGCCCATCGGGGGGTCTTCATCAATATACGTGAGTGTTTAGCCGTTTTTGATAAGTTAATTATAATGTCTCGCGAAAGTTTGAATATATTTGTAAAATCTGAATTGTCTGAAGTACTGTTTAGTGACGAATAATAATTATAGTATATAAAGAATTACGAACATGAGATACAACATCGTCGTTGATAATATCGGCGTAGAAATCTGCATCAAATGCCGACAACTCGACGTTACTTTTAACATAATTTACATTGTTATTTTTCCATTTGCTGCAAACATGAAATAACAATTATAGTACAGAAACTTTAACCTAACCTATACGTCTTACAACTTAACAAAGTTATTAACTTTAAAGTTACTAACAGTGGATCATCGAATACGGCAACATTAGAATTAATGACATGACACATCCCAAATTCAGTCATAGCAGATTGTATAGAAAGAGAATAGTTAAAGTTTGTAGTCAGAGAATGTTTGTCAAATTGATTGAACAACATAGCAGCTGTTTTAGCATAGTCTTCAGGATTTATTGGCTGAAATAAAATAAAATATATTGCTAATTATATTAGTCAATTTCATTTTATACTACCTGTTAACAGCCTATGTGTTCCTCCAGACTTTGCTCTACATGTATACCAAATTTCATCAAGATCCGTTGGGCCATTCTAGAAACCTTTAAACAAACATCCATCCATCTAAACATTCGCATTTATATTAGTAAGATAGTCTGTGATTCAGCTAAATTGAGAAATCGATATAGGCGTAGAAGCTTATGTATTTTACTGATTATATATTTATTACTTACGTTTGTATTACCGGGATCTATTAAAGCTAGAGTATTTAAATTTAACACAGAAGCTGTTGCAATAGCCCACACATATGACTCTAGATACATTCCCGTTTTGTTAGACAGATCTCTAAAATAAATATTACTCGTAGTTATTTTTAATAGAATGAAAACAAGCAAGCGGCCACCAGCGTCAGTGGCCAGTGTCAGAAATAAATTTAGCTCACCTCACTAAATTATTAAATGTTGTCAAATTTATTTTTATTATTGGACATAACGTCAGGGCTGGATATGATATATTCCATTCTAAGTAATCCATCTCAACACTCATTACTGTCGGGGAATTCTGTTAAGAAAAATATTAAGAAATCAAACACATTCTTTTCTTCTATTCTATTTTATCCTATTCTTTTTAAGAGCAAATCTATTGTTGTCAGGTCGGGAAGTATCAAAGGGCTCAGAAAATCTCAAGTTACCGATTTAATTATCATACAGGAAAAATAAAAAGTAGTCATAATGTTAAAATATCAATGAACGTGTTAGTTTCATTTATTTAATATATTTAGGTTGAGTAGAAACTTAATTGAATAATGATTTCTTTACAATAATACGTCAATCTTGTGTTCTGTATGTAAGTACATGGAGATTGTTAAACTGTATAAATCATTATATGTAGTACTTACTATAAACCGTGAAAATTGCGATGATAACAGATTGTAAATAATAATCAGTGAGAAGATGAAACTCAATGCCCAAAATAATCTGGAAAAGATATTATGTCTGTGTTAGGGTAACGATATATTTTATACAATTGTAACGAATTGAGAACCAACCAGAATACCTTTCCATCCAATGTATATCTTGGTTCACAATGTAAGGCAAGCCGTGAGTAGTCGAATACTTAATACTAGACCTAATATCATTTATAAATTTATTTTCTTTAACGATCTTACGTTTATTTTTAAAACTTTTAAACGGCACTTTTTCAACCATTATTTTTATATTATTTAGTAATTATTATATTTTAATTACTATTTTACGATCAAACAACTTCTTGTTAGGGAAACTTAATAACAGTAACTCTAGTATCTACAAGCACGGTGTGGATTAATGATTTGTAAGACTACAGCGTACGTGGAGTAGAAAATAATGATATTTTTTTGCTACATCGGAGCTTTACAACAGAACATTCTCGAATGCACACCCTTTGTATCGTAAACAGTAATTATGGGATAGCGATATTCTTTAAGCGTTCTTATAAATTCTTTACAGACTCAAGTTTTCAAATGTTAATTCAAAATAAACTTATTTTTGTGTCAGATGAAATTCAGTTAAATGAAGCAAAATTTATTTTCTTAGGAAATTACGATACTGAATATTAGAGACACTTAGTTCTGACTATGTTAGAGCTTAGCCATTTGCCGTATTTCAGAAAAAAACTGTTTATCGCTTAAGTCTACAATTTAAAAATTGTGTACTTAAAGAAAGGTGTATGTTTTTGATAGGTGATTTAAATTACTAAAAGTTAATCCTAATCGTTATAGCCATTTCCGATTTTATACAGAACAAATTAAATTGTTTGTTGCTCGTTAAATGAATGTGTTACTTAATCCTTATTGACATTTCGTTTGTTAGAGCTAAAATGTCCGGTGCTCGAGACATAATGCAAGTGATGTCACATCAGGTAGGCTTAGTGTACTCTGACGTGGAGAGGACTGCCTGTCTGACAGGCAGACACTAATGCTTTAACCCTGGCCGTTTGAAATACAAAGTAAATTTGTACTGAATGTGATGCAAAACATCTTGTTATACTCGTAAATAAAATTGAACAATTCTAGATTCACACAATTTAATAATTGCTCAACTTTATGTGAAATAAGATCAATTAGAATTTACAAATGTACAGTATATTTGAGAAATCATGGTATTTTCAATCGAGTTTTAAAGGCCATCTCAGCTCAGTATACGATTATGGTTGATTTCTTGTTGCTTGTTTCATATCAAACATGTTTGTATATGATGGAATGTCATACATATTACACGTCGCAATAACACTAGCCATATCGTTGTAAGACAATTTGCTCTTAAAACCTACTTTTGCTTAATATATTCGCAAGTTAAAAAAATAACTTAGTAGCCACTCTATGCCTTTCTCTATCAATGTAACATACACTTAATGGAAAATAAATTGTGTACAAACAAAGCCGGCCCTATTCCAGATTATTTTTTGTCATACAATGGTTAATAATAAGCAACTTAAGTACCAACAGGAAAACTTCTGTGTCTGTCCATAGGTATCATTATTATTAATATATATAGTTATGAAGTGCCAGATGTTATTGTTAACTAAAAATATCACGTAAAACTCATCAATTTCTCATTAAAATGTGTAATTTTTGCTTTAAGTTTTAGGCGCATCATTAACGTAGCGAGCAGTTAGTGTTTGTAGCTCTGGCGTAGCATACACGTAGCCACCTGCAGCAGTGAGTAGCAAATTCGTAGTGGGCTAATGCGGACGTAGCAGTACGTAGAGAACAGTTGCAGTGCAGCATATGTACCTCTGGCGTAGCAAAAACTTATCAATTCTGAAAGTTCTTGTCTCTTGGCAAAAGCGTAGCATTGATATAACACGAATGTAGATACGTAGCGGCTAAAAATGCGTAGCACTGACGTGACATTCGATACTCGTAGTACAATGTCTTAGTTTGTAAAAACATGACGCATTCTACAAAAAACATTGTATTATAAATAAAAGTTGGAAGATTTAAAAAAGAAGCAAGAAAGACAGATATAATTTCACAATACAGTTGCTGCGAATTTATTGTCCTTCACAAACTCGAACTCTGACACTTCCGTGACGGCCTATTTAATTATTAATCGACTCATACGTTATTGACGAAGGGAAGCTTAAATTATCAAATAGATTACATATCATGCCATAAATAAGTAATGCAAAGTTAATTTATAATGTTAGACTACGCGTGAGCAATTTTAATAGGTCACATGATATTCCAAAATCTAACAACGTAACCTTATAACGGCATAAAACATTTATTTTTTAGAGAGAAGTTACACAACTGCAATACACAATTGCTTACTCTCATCTACAGGGTGTTTTCAATTTATGTTTGTTAATATTTTATTGTTATTATAATCGTTTTTTTTTCATACAAATTATTAACATACTAGCCATCGCCCGCGACTCCGTCTGCGCAGGAGTACAAAAAACTTAGTAACTTATGTGTTCTTCCAGACTATTTTCTACGTGTATGTCAAATTTCAGCGAGATCCATAAAGCCGTTCTGTAGATAACTTCAAACATCCATCCATCTAAACATTCGCATATATAATATTAGTACGCTAAGGTAAAATATAAAATCCAAATAATAATTCGAATATCAATAGGTTACATTTCTAGTACGAAAAAATCTATTATTGTTTGTGAGGTTAGTTTTAAGTAAATAATACACCATTGCAATATATTTTTTTATTCTTAAAGACAGAGTTTTGTAGTGTTCTTAAACACATTTTTATTAGCCCAGGGATAGACCCAAGTATCTGTAAAGTTATATTGAACAGAGATTTTTTTTTTATTATTAGCAACAAAGTGCATGGAGACAAAGTTAAGAGAAACAACTAGTAAATAAGGATCGTTGTCTTTCTGATAAAATAAACGCCCGTTATCTTAATCCCGCCTTGTTGCAAAACCGGTTACGTTTTTTCTGAACATGCATTCTGAAAATATATAAAAAACATAGATTTTTTTGACAAAAGTTTATAAGATTGCTAATCTATTACTTGTCTCGTAATAGTCGGTACTATCGATAAAAATGTAATTAATTAAACAAAATAATATTAAAAATATATTACTAAAGCACTTTTCTAAATCAAATAAATTTATACTTTTAGGAAGTTTACTTTACCTTTTAGCTGGATAATTATTTCTTAATCTTCAATAACATCAATTAAATCCAATCCATTGTAGTCATCAAATATTGACGAAAGCGCTGTTACAGTAGATATTGTAAACATCTTTTCACCATCTCTCATCTCGTACTGCAAAAGGAAATAATATTAACACGTTGACGGACAGTAGGAACAAGCGAAGTTGGAAAATTGACACTATATATTTTTGTGATTTTTAGAATGTTAGAAGTATAGTTTTACTCTTTCTGCTTAAATAAACTTAATTTTGATTAATTTAGTACCTTTAATTAGGTTGCGGCTATAACCGTCATGGCGCCAGCGGACTCTATACAGTAAGTGCACATTTGTGCTGCTATAGCCGTAGTGTCTAAAAACGACCGTTTCGTTTTGGACGGCTATAGCAGTCATGCCACATTGTGAACTTCGCTTTGACGGCTATAGCCGCAATTGTCCGTCAACGTGTTAATAAACCTTTTCATAACTTTTGGTAAAAATTTTGGTATCAGCCGTTATCGTACTGTTTCGTTCAATATGTTTTGTACATTTAAAACAAGTACACAAATATCGTAAATATTACAAAATCGCTAGATGGGGCTTTCATTAAAAAGCTTACCTGGGTACACGTTTTGGTTTCTAAACACCCTCTATTTCGTGTGACGTCTTAATAATTGTCGTCTATATCGACCTGTTTTTCATTCACAGGAACTATTCCTGTAATTCGTATAATAGAATTTAAAAAAAAATCGTAGCAAAGTGAAAACTTTTGTAGAATAACATTCACAATGACAGGATTGCAGAAATCGTCATAAAAACCCACCAACGACCAATTTCGCACCAGAAACATTGCTGAACACGGCTAACAATTGTAAGGTCCAATAGTCCATAAGATTTCCAAATAAAATGATTTTCAAAGTAGTCTGCATCATTCTAATTGTAATCCATGCAAAACCCAAATAAGAAATAACCCATATTCGATAGAAAGAACTTACCATGAGCCTTGAAACAAATGATGGAAATGCCACATATCTCCTACTGTGAAGAACATTTCAAAAAGAAGTAAAATAACAGCAGATTCATCAACATTTATAAAATATTTAATACAAGAACCAATAGAACGGAACAAATTTAAATGTTATTGTTAAATTTTTTCCAACTCTTAACATCATGTGGTTGATTTCTCTCTATACCAATATATACAATATACTAATAGTGTACCAATTTGAAGAATCTTACCTAAAACAATTCTTAACAAATTTAATTTGATTTGAAGATTTTTTTTAATGTACTCTGATTTTTTTATCAAAGCTGTTTGTCAAAAAATAAAAAGATTCCTTAGTCATCACAATAACCACTACATTGCAGTACATTTGATACATTTCGTGCCAATAGACAAAACGTTTGAATCAACCAATTTTTCACCATTAGTCATAGAAATCCCATATGTAAAAAATATTTTCTATATAAATATTCCCACAGAATGAAACATCCACTCCAATTGTCTTCGGATCAAATACCAAAAAAAAGGAAATTTAAAATATACATTACCTAAAGACTGAATACTTGCCTTCGTAAAAGAAAAACAAACTTCTTCGATGTACCAACAATGATAGGAATATGAAATGCATCCTTCGCAAGCGTAATTCATTTATTGAAAAAAACCTCGTACATGAAAGAATAAGACAATTTAACACTACACTAGTCTAGAATACAAGATATAAAGGGATGAGAGTCTAAGGAGAACGACCACTTGACGTGAGATGAGACGTGAGCGGCGCCGGCGACTTAGACAAGACGACGACAACACGCCTTCACACCGACACACACACTTCGATACCACATGCCTGAAAACACAGAAAAAAACAATTCACAAGCAGAACATAAATTGTCGCACCGAATATATATGAATGTGGAGAAAAACTGAAAGCTCTAAATAAATGGCGCCAATGCCGAGACTCCGCTGTCATCTGTCAAAGTTTTTATACGACATTCTAGTGATGTTTTAATAAATAATAATGTGGCAACATTGAAGTTATTTCTAATAGCTTGCCAAATCGACTGCCAGCGTGATTGTGTTAGGTCAATAGACGTCTGTATATTATCCAAGCTATGTAAACAATGTTTGTATTTGGCACCCTGACATGTCTCAAAGACCTGGACTCAGAGCATAAGTGCAATGCCAACACCATACGAATCCTTCAGCTAGCGATTGTGATTGAAGAACGATTTCGAAAACCCGGACTTCGAACATATTTACACTAGTATTAAATATCTAAAAAGGTAAGCTGTATAGACAACCTAAAAGATACAATTTGGGATGGTGATTTGTGTGTAAAGAGTCCAAATAAGAAACTTTTTTATTTATTTCTGTGATGGGGTCAAATTACAAACAACCACATCCTATCAACCCATTTTAGTTAAATGCTTTATGAATACAAAATCATATTTTTACAGTGACATGTGTTCTACACGATAATTAATGTTAGCCAGTATTATTGAATAATGTACGAAAAAAATGTCTTCAGATCAACACCATTGGTTTTTTCTTCAGAGTTCTTTGAAAAATATAGTTTATGCAAACTATCGCAAAACAATAGACCACCTCAAAGAGAACATATTCGAAGACATTGAACGAATTTGAACTAGTACCAAATTCTTATAAATAAACATGCTACATGCACAAATAACAATCAATTACTTTTTGCTGCGAAAATTAATATAATAGTTAATTTAAAAATTATATACAAATCTGTACTACATAGATTTATCTTTTGTTTTATATATATCGCAATATTTAGTTTTAAAATCTATTTATTCCACACAAAAATAACTTTATTCAGTGAAATATAATAAAATCCAAACCTTTTTAGCTGGATATCAGTTAGAAGAAACGCACATCAATTGTCCTGCCGTCGATGCGGGTCCTGTCAAACATTTCTGTAATATTCGTTAGGAAAATTATTAGCATTGTATCACCATTGTGCACAAAGGCATTTTATAATTCCACTGATGTTATATGACAGTAAATTGAAATCTAAATTGTGCACTTCTTTATATAAAGAAAGAGAAAAAAATCTATTACCACACTCATCACACATGTAAGGCAGAAACTAAATAGTCTAGCAAAAGAAAACCAGCTCAGCTAAACAGTTGAAAATTAATTGGTGTATAAAAAAGATAAAATATTTTGAGATGTTTTGTTGGGAAATCCGGCGCAAACCAAGTTACGTGTGTATTAAAAAGGATACTGATAGCTCTTTCAGCGTCCCATTCCTTGTGGAACCTGACTACTGCAGTGTCGGATGCTGTCATCTCCGCGAACTTGACGTCCCCACACTCGCTGAACTTCTCGCGGATCAGTTGCCATGTCACTGTCGGCGGCAGCTGAATAACATAGAATCATAATATTAATAAAGATTAAATGGATGTTTGTTGGAAGGCATCTCCAGTACAGCTGTATAGATCTTATTTACAAAGAAAAAAAATTTTGTAGCAGAACATAGTCTTCATCTTTTGTAATCTATTTTAAATGAGCAACAAATTGTTGATAATTAAATATAATAAATAATAAGGCACACCCTTGATCTAGAGGGGTAGGCAAGGATAAAGGTCTCCCATTTGGCAAGATACTGGCAAACCTCTTTTGCCTCTTCCACATTCACACAGCTACGGATGCATACTAATTTCTCGTGCTATTATTGTCCTTCTATATATAAGACCGATTTGACGCGATTGGAAATATATTAAATTTAGGACATAATAATGAAAATCGTACATACATTAGTAATTATAACCATGTCAGATATTTTATCTCTTGAATTCTGTTCCGGCCGCGTGTCCCTGACATAGTTCTGACTTTGGACTGATGTGTTCACCATCTGTCTGTTGGGACCTGGAACGGGACCAAAACCTATTAGAGGAATATTTCAAATTTTACTTATTAATATAATCAATTTTAATGTAGCGTCGATCATCCGAACTAATAGAAAATGTAATCGGAAAAGAGTTTAGATAAATACAAAATGATGTTACTTATGTATAATTTTTTTTTATTAAAAGTTAAACCTGTGATGGTCACAGAGGTAGGAAAAGAAAGCAAAGGATATCTTACTATCCCCCTTTCCCCTTAGTGATTTTCTTCAGGACCTCTCCTCCCACTTTTGATGATCGCGTCATTAATGGACGACCTCTTTCAAAATTGTATTTTTACATCATTTTTTAAAGACCAAGATCATTGACACATTCTCATTTGAATGATATATAGGCAAGATTATATCATATTTCGGATAATCGACGCTGTATAGTCTACGTAATACATACCTGACAATGGTCCACTGCTAAGACCAGGGTTGCCAATAACATTGCTATTCATATTTGAGTTGGGCATCATGTTGGGTGTCATTTCCGTCGAGTTCATTGCTAAATTGTTTGTGTTAACATTGGCCTGAGCTGAGAGAACTGTCGCTAGATCATTCGCCGTCAAACCTTGTTGTAGCAATTGATTCTGTAAAGCTCCCAGACCTGTCAACCCTAGTGCCTATAAAAAAGTGGTAATAAACATAATTTATAAGAAGATAAGTATTTGTTGTCTGCTTCCTTGTTCTGTTTGAACTACAAGAACAAATCCTCTAAATTAAAACAAAAAAAAAACCATTTCTATCAGTAAGAAGTGCAGGTCCACTTAGAGACCTAAAATCGACCAGCACAAGTTGCAAGTTTTGAAATAAAAATAAACCCAATATTTCCCCTTATTTAAAATTACCTGCAAACTTAAGCCACCACCAAGTGCTGCATTTGTGCCTAATGTTGTTGCAGGCAAGCCAGTACCAAGACCATTGAGCGCCACTCCAGCTGTGGGCACGGCACCTAGTACTCCCGCACCAAGAGCCGTGTTAGCTCCGGACAAACCTATGTTTGTTGTACTCTGCCCTTGGGGGAGATTCCTCGCGACATCTCTCAACGGCTCCCCATTAGGTCCCAAACCTAATCCAATACCTTTCAATCCGTCTGGTAGCTTCAATTCATTTTTATCTGATGTGCCACGGTCCATTCGGACTGTCATACGACGGTCATACAACATTTGCTTATCAAACATTGAAATTGCCTGAAAATTTCAAACTTTGTAGATCCAAAAAATAATATCCAATGTCCAATTTACAACATTCATTTTTAAAATGGTTATAAATTTACCTATCTTAGTTCAACAAGCTTGAAAGAGAAAATGGTAGATAAAATTTACCTGTACAGCTTCAACGGGATGATCATACTCAATAACAGCAAAGCCTCTGCTATTCCCGTCTTTGTCTACAGCCAAATCAATGTTATAAACTTTTCCAGCCATTTTGAATACCTCCTTAATCTTTGCACGGTCAGCTTTGTAGTCCAACTAAACAATAAACCATAACCATTGTTAGTTTCTAGATACATTTTCTACAAATAAATGTCTATTATAAAGAGTCTATCTGAACAAAAGTTCAGTGTAAACTATACTTATGTTCATCTTAATAAGTATTCTCCGACATAACTTACTATCACAACATAATATTTATCTCTTAATGTAGGTTTCCGAGTCCAAAATCTCTGTTAAAATCATATTGTTATATCTGTTGTCAAAGCTAATGACAGGTATGATGTGTTTTACACAGACATTTTCGTGTCAGAAACCCACAGTAAATCATTTACAGATTTAAATAAAGTTAGATTAATGATATTCATACTTACATTTGCAACAAACACTTTTTTAACAAGGGGCGGTTGGACATTGATTGAATCCAAAAACTGTAGACTCAAGCCATAAGTATTGTAACTCTCAGACTCTCTTGGCTTACTTGGACCCCAACTGAATAAATATTAAACACAATCAAATATATTGTACCAATGTCAATCGTCAACCAATTGATCCTTGTAACTTTAAACACATCACACATCATCTCACATTCACATCTTACTTGAGTTTGAATACATAATATAATATTTATTTTTGCTTAAAAATGTCAAACTATATTTACTCACTTATCTTTTTCATCTCTAGCATTTCTGGAATTTCCTCCACCAGATCTTGTATTATTTCTACTTCTATCACTATTTCCTGTAATACAATATCTTTTAAGATAAAATGTCCCTTTCAGACACATATCCTTTTTTTACCAATTTTTCTACCAATCTCATGAATATCCACAATTACATTCTGACTGTCTTACATAAATCAGTACATAATTAACATAATTATATAATATCATTTAAATAATTTTAGTTCTGCATAAATTACACAATCATTAACATAATCTAGGGTTCAATTAGTACAATAATAGTAAAACAACTCTAGGCTGTATTTATAAAAATAATATTCTTATTGCTTGTCTTACCCATTTCCTCTTTCAATACAAGTTTCCGTCCAAATAGCTCATATCTATGCATAACAGATAGAGCTTTCTTTGCAGCTTCTGCTGTGGAGAAAGTGACAACTCCACATCCCCGAGGCTTTCCATGATCATCCGTGAACAATTCAACAAATGCAACATCTCCTACCTGCAATAAGTGTATAATGTAACCAATACAGTGGATATATTTGTAGAATATTTCAGACTTGGCAAAATATTAATTTTTGAATAAAGGAATTCCAGCGCAAGTAGAAAAAATCTAAAGTAGGTTTGTTGATGTCTTGGTAGTCAAAATGTGTTAAGATTGTACATTTTGGTAGTGAAAATCTGTGTTGATGACTGATGAAAAATGATAGAATGTTTTTGTTTGTTAGCTTAGGAATAGGTAAGTTCTTGAAAATACTATAGGACATAATCACCTTTTCCTTAAATAAATCTTTAAGATCAGTCCATCGGTATTCGTAGGGAATATTTGACACAAACAATCGTTTTCCTTCCGATCGCTCGCGGTCATTTGATCGATCTCTCTCAACATCTGAAAAGCGGGAAGGTCTATCCCCACGTCTCGATCGATCTCGTTCCTTTTCTTTCTGATTATCCATGACCCTTGCTTTAAAACAATTTCTCTGTAAACCATACATCAAATAAAGTAAAACGGCAAAATGCCGGCGTACTAAAAAGTTTTAAAAGAGATTATTAAGATTAATCGAATATTAACTTACCTTAACTTATGTTTTGATTACAAAGCATGTACTACGATTAGTTCTTTATTTTTAAAAGTACAAACGTAAAGCGGGAAAGTATAATTACAATCCCAATAAAATGGCGACGTATTTCTTTGTATTTTTTTAATTTATCTTGATGTCGCGTAATGGCAGCTTGGCAATGTTCAATGTTGCCTGTTTTGATACTAACATTTTAAATTTTAACCTAAAAAGTTGTATTCCGTAGTTTAGTTTGAGCGATATTTAAAAGGGTTTATATAAAACAACCATGTTTTTGGTATTTAGACAATTTTTAAAACCTATATAGATATGAAACAGACATTCAAACGAATGAAGGCGTAGCGAATTGCCTATAAACAGTAACAATAACTGGGTTTACTGTAGTGAAAACCGTTGGATCATTGAGCTCTTTATTTTAATTCAACCTTTCATTTTTGTATTGAAGTTAAAATTGTTAATCCTATAAAACTTTTTTTTTTAAATATTATTAGTAGTGTTGATAACGAAACACAGGTACACCAATTTTTTGATAATAGCAACACAAAAGTGCGCTATCATTTTGTTGTACCACCAACATGTCAAGTCAACTAGAATTTTAATCTGTAAGTAGAGTACACTGCAATGGTATATTGGATGTATATGTGTATTTTTCTCCCACGACAGTGGCAGCGGCAATAGCCATGCAGTCATACTTTGGATCTTTAAAATAGTAGTGAAAATATTGTAATGATGGAGCAGGCAAAAGTTAACATACCTAAACTTTTTGTGTGCACTGTTATTGAAAACAAGGATGAAATTGAAGAGGTAATGACTACAAATTTGCTATTCCTCAACAAAGAATAATTTAGTCGGCCATGTAAAACGCAGTTTCCCCGCAATAGCTACGGCGGCGCTGTAGTCATGGCGCGAAATTTTAAACATATTTAAGTTATACTAAATGTAACTTATTAACCTAACTTTTTGTTCCAGAGATATGAGAGAGCGTATACTTTTTTGCAGTCCCTTGTAGCTGATTGTAGCGAGAAGGAGGCTCACGATGCACTGAATAATGCTGTTTGTAAAAATCATGAAGACATATCACTAGGAATGCTCCTGTCCATTCTCACAGAACCCCACAATGCAACCAAATGTTACAGAGATCTAACACTTATTACTAGAGATGGATTAACATGTGTGCTTAACAATTTGTCAAACTTAATTTTAGAAAGATATTTGAGATTTCATGATACTACAAGGAATCAGCTGTTATGGCTTATAAAAGAAATGATGAGGAATGCTGTTACGGGAGTTGATAATGTTTGCTGGAACCTAATGCGTTATGCATCAGGAGGAGATATAACACCAAAAAACATTTATCTAGTAGAATCTCTTTTAGATATTTACATTGAAAATAAAGTGTGGTTAGAGAAATTTCCCATGTTAATATGCATGGTCGTATATACATATTTGAGATTGATTGAAGATCACAATGTACCACATTTAATGGCATTACGTCAAAAAGAAGTCAATTTTGTAATAGCTCTTATAAGAGAACATTTCACAGATGTTTTATCTTTAGGGCGGGATTTGGTGAGACTACTTCAAAATGTGGCTCGCATTCCTGAATTCCATCAATTATGGCAAGACATTCTTACAAATCCCAGATCACTGTGTCCAAATTTTACAAGTGTCCTGCAAATACTGAACACAAGAACTTCAAGAAGGTATTTGCAATCAAGGATAACACCCGATATGGAACGAAAACTTGTTTTTCTTACTTCTCAAGTGAGATTTGGACACCATAAAAAGTATCAAGAATGGTTTCAAAGGCAATATTTAGCTACCCCTGAATCTCAATCACTTCGTAGTGATATGATAAGATTCATTGTAGGAGTCATTCATCCAACAAATGAATTGTTGTGTTCAGACATCATTCCAAGATGGGCCGTAATTGGATGGCTTCTCACTACATGTACATCAAATGTAGCAGCATCTAATGCCAAACTTGCACTCTTTTACGATTGGTTGTTCTATGATCCAGAAAAAGATAACATAATGAATATAGAACCAGCAATTTTAGTAATGCATCATTCCATGAGATCACATCCAGCTGTAACAGCAACTTTGTTAGATTTCTTATGTCGAATTATTCCAAATTATTATCCACCATTTTCAGATAAAGTTCGACAAGGAATATTTAATTCGCTGCAGCAAATAATTGAGAAAAGAGTTTTACCAAATTTACAACCATTATTTGATTCACCCAAATTAGACAGGGAATTAAGAACGACTGTTAGAGAAACATTCAAGGAATTCTGCAGCAATAGCAACGGAGAAGGGGCTTCTAGTGTTCGTGAAGAAGGTCTTGATGATTTACCTAAGATGGAGTCAGATGAACCTGCATTTTCAGATGATGAAGATGAACCTCATAATAATATAACAGAAGACACAGATGATGATGACATACCGTTATCCGAAGTGAGAGCAAGGGAAAGACCAGAGTTGGCAGCAGCACTGCCATTAATTTTACGACCTTTTGCGGAAACATTATTAGATGAACGATCTACGACTGCCACTAAAGCTTTTATTAATGCATGTGGCAGTCCAATGCCAACAGCGTCCTCACTTGCAGATTTATTTGCAGCTATTTTGCAAGACGCTCCTCCTGTCAAAATTACGTCTAATCCTACACCCTCAGAACTGGAAGCTGTACTGGATTCACCTGTCTTTGCAATGTTCACTTATTTAACGGAAGGAACAGAGGCTAAGAAAAAACTAGTACTAGATATCTTTAAGGAGATTCATGTACAAAGTTCGTTTCAAAATGTAGGATTTTGTTTATTATTTTACTTGAAAGTGTGTTATGAAAGAGAAAGAAAGACAGAGCGAGATGGCGGTAGAAAAAAAAATGTGAAATTTAAAGTTGATGTATATAAAAATTACTGTAATTATTTAGAATTGAAACTAGCTGACAATTTGGCATATGACTTTGAAAAGTGCCAAGAAAGTGATGCTAATCTATTGGTGTGGTTGATACCAGATATATATAGAGAGTTCAAAGATCAAGCACAGAATCACATAAAACTACTAAATGTGATAGTTTCAACTTTGGATGCAGTACAATTGCAGCGTCTTGTATGCCTCACACTGCAGGGCACTTTGATGATGTTCAAATCTGATGATATTACCACAATGCTTTCTACGAGTCTTGGATGGGAGACATTCGAACAATATTGTCTGTGGCAACTTTTAACAGCACATGATATCTCCGTTGAAGATGTCTTACCAATCATTCCCAAGTTATCTTATAAAGGTCATGCTGAGGCCGTCACCTCGGTCTTGTTAATGTTAAAACAAGAGCGTCCAACAGCGGACGTTTTACGACAAATGTTTTGTAGAACAGTGGATGATGATGATACATTTGTTGTCTCCACTGTTATGTATTGGTGTCAAGATTTTGAGGACAAAGTTGGAGATTTACTTTCAGTGTTATTAAGCACTCGATACCCTGGCACAAGTCCAAATAAGAGAAAACGTCCTGGTAAACAAAGTATACCTCCCAATGCACCACCTTCAGCGGAACAAGTATGTTTTATTTTACTTTGTTTTAGGGTGACATTTAATTCACAATTTGTTAATTATCCTCTTTATTCATTCTGTTTAAGTTTTCAAAAACTTCTTATTTGAATAATTGTGTTTTCGATACAAAAAATGGAATTTTAATTACACATATTTTAAAATTTTCCTCAAGGTTTTAGGTCATTTAGAACAAATAAGGGTACGGTGTGTGGAACAGGAAGATATGTCTATTTTCAACATGGAATGTATGCAAAAAGCTTTGCAACACTCACAGTCCAACAGTAGTGACAGTTTACGAGTAAGTGTTGCTTTTTCTTAAAGATTATAAATCTTACAGAGATAAAAACACTTTTATTATTTTTTTCAGAGACAATATAGTCAGCTGTTCTCTCTGGCATGGGAAGATGAACTACCAATATCAAGAAGAGCTAGAAAATTAATTTCAAATTCGTTACCTCTTAATCAAAATTTACATTCCTCTAACGAGGATAGTGAGGTATTATTTATCATTTTATTTGTTACTCTTATTTCTTGTTAAATTTGTAATACAACATTTAAAATTTATCTCTAATCCATTGGATTTATGTTTCAGGAGGAAGAGATTGTAAAACCTAAACAGGCGAAAAGACGAAAAAAAGCCATTTCAGATAGTGAATGACGAAACTTTTTTAAAAAGTTTGGTAAATTTAAACGAAAAAGTTCAACATTTAAATACAATCAGTTTTAATATTGATCATATAGTGGAAACTATGAATTAGTTACCATATGTTGAATACAATTTGCAGTACTGGTTTACAGATGCAATAATCATACATAATTAATATTTATACATTTACACGGAAATACAAAAGTTATGAAACAACTAACAATATTCTAATACTGTTCAATACATATTCAAAGCTCCTTATTCACTAAATCATGTAAGATGTCTGTACATAAAATTATCATATTAAGGCTTTGTTGAGAAAAAAAAATAGATAAAGAAAGGTTTTCTAATGGGTGAAATAATTATTAAATGGCGTAGTGTCTTAGTGTCTAGAACAATGAAATCTTTTATATAGAATATTAGCATAACTTTTATACTTGTTAACTAAGGTAAGTACATATTTTGTCAAAATAAAATGCTGAGTTTTATTATCAACATGAAGGTATGGTATTTAATATAGAATAAGGAGCTTTGATATAGAATATATTTACATAAGAAGACTTCATTATTATTATATGCAGAAGACAGTCAAAATCTGTACAAATTGCCGGCTTTCAAATCATTGGCACAACTCGTCAGTATAATTGTGTTATCTACGAATTTGTACTTCATTTAATTTAAACAACTATTTTTATCTTGTTTTATAAATACGACCCTGTTATAAATTTCATTCAGAAAAAAAATCACCTTTATTTAACTGCATTTGGTTATTCAAAAGATATATTATAATTATATGTCAAATATATTTGCACAAAAATGTACTTGGATGGTTACAAGGTATGCATTTCTACAAGGAATGTCTAGGACAATGTCCATATTAGTCAATCATCAAATGCATTGTAAATTCCTAGATCATTAATAGTTAATATAATAGATTACACTTGTATAGATCTTTAGTCCCCTTTTTTATTGTTTAAGGACATGAGACCAAGAACTTGTATGAATAAAAATGTATAAATAACATTTTTTTTTAAATATTATACACTAGGATCAATAAAATATTTTCCCTTAGGTAGTTTTTATTTGGATTATGTATAATTTTAATTTACTCCAACAATCCTTACATATTTAGATATATTCTTTCTTTAAAAATAGCTCAAATGTGACTTAACATTTTGTTGTGGTATTTATATATAATGGAGTTCATATTTATATTGTCTTAAGGAATGAATCATCTTAATACTTTGTGAATAACAAATGAAGCATTTTTATGATAGGATTTATCTTAAGATCAAAAGTTATTATCTTATAAAGTTTGTAATTCCCAGCCATTTAAAAATAAACCTTCCTTATTATAATTTTATTGCTATAAAATTCATTACTTCCCATTTTTTTTGCGATAAAGTGAATATATTGTATATATGTGTAAAAAGTTAGAGTCAAAAAAGTGAAATTAGGTATTTAAACAAACAATGTAATTAAATAAAATAATGTTATTAATTTATTACTCCCCTCTTACACTGATCAAGTTTGTGGCTTCTTTAGCATTTTTGTAATCAATTGTGTACCTCACACAATGTGACCTTATGTCAAGTGTCAGGAATAAATTAAAATTTCTCGAAGAAATTGGTGATAGGAAAAAAGCGTAAGTTGATCCACTCAAATAATATGCTATATATATATAAAATATTCATTTACTAAGGGTAAGTTAATACATTCAAAAGAATGGTAGGTATGTCTTTTGTATATCATTAATAAAAACAACAAAATTCTTACAATAATTCCCGTATTCCCATTAAAACTAATGAACATCAAATTCACTAAAGCCTTCCTTGCTTAAACCTTTGTCTTGCTTGCGCTTTACTATACTTAGGCTTCTTTTCTGGTTGTGTTGTTTCTTTATTTGCATTGTCACTTCCGACTGGAAAACAAGACAAAAAAAAACAATAATTCAGACACTTTTTTTTAAATGTCACAGTGAAAGTTAAGTTATAGACAAACTAAACTAGTCATCTCTGTCTTACTAAAAGGAAGTGAAGTATAATATTCAACTTCTATTTACTTTAAATTGATTCAATGCCATCATGGAAGGTAAGGCCATATTTGGTTAAAAAAGACTAAGTGCATGGTCTTGTGCTTTACAATCGGAAACAGCGAATAACATATGTAAACAAATAAAATGAATTTACCTAGTTCCTCAGGTGGCTGGAGTGACTTGCCTGCGCCCCATGTATTCATCAATGTTACGGACTTTCCAATAGACCAACCTAAGCCAGCTAATGCTATTGAAAATGCAACCATACTGAAAGGATGCTGAAAAAATTTATATACTTTAGAATACCAATTCATACAAAGGTGACAATGAATTTATTAAACTTTTTCAAGGCCAGGTGAGTCGGTGGCACTGAAGTAAATATTTTTTTCTTACAGTACACTGCAGCTCAATGTTTTCACTGAAACACTATGTTCAGTAACATGATGATATTGACTACTAATTAAAAAAAAGGAATTTTTAATTTTTTGGCCCAAGTAGAGTTTGTGACAGGCAGGCGGCCAGTCGTAAAACTAAAGTCAAAATGTTAAGGTTTATAAAAGTTTGTGCTACACTAGTTGCTAGCCAGAATTATTTTCTACTTATTATTACTCACCCCTAATGTTGGATTGGTTGTACAACAGTAATCCAGAATAACAACAGCTATACCAACAATGAATCCTATACATGTACATATCCAAATAGTGTTTTGATTGCCTGAAATAAGACATTAAAATTGTTTTTAATAAGTATTTACAGATATTACATCAATTGTGCTAGTTTCTTAAATGTAATTATAAAATTTTAATTCCACATTATATTAAACAATGTATGGACATTTTTTGTTATTGAAAGTTTAAGAATGCAGAAAAACAAGAAATTAAATAGCCACTGCTAACTACAGAATTAAATAATAGGTTGTCATAGGTATAATCCATGTCAATACTTGCAAGTGCAGCCTTCATATAGCTTCTCTAAAGTTACATAGGTATAAAATATGATGGTACTTCAATTTCAGACAGGATATTTGTCGGAAAGTTTGACTAGTACTTACCTAGCAAGCTCACTTTATAATAATCACACACACAGAATGTGTAAAAAAAATTTAAATCTCTGACTTACTTTGTATCTTTTGCTTTTGCATGTCAGTTATATTTTTAATGGACTCCAGCAGTTTCGGATTTTGAGGATCAAGTTTTAAAGCTATAGTGTATGAGACAATTGCTTCATCATACAGCCCACTAGCAGCTTCAACTTCAGCACGTCGAAAGTAACCCTAAAAAAAAACGAAAATACATTAAAAATATACTAATGTTTTGACTATAACAGTACCACATACAGTACTTTTAAGAGTATACCTTGGCCCATTGTGGTTGTAATTTAACTGTTTCATTTGCATCTTGTAATGATAAATAATGTTGGTCCAGTTTCAGGAATGCAAATGATCTATTACTATACAGAACATAATTGCTAGGGTCCATTTTAATAGCATGTGTATAATGTAATACTGCTTCAATGAATTTCCCATCTTTTACACATTCGTTACCCTTAATTTTGAGTTCTTCGACACTAAGTGTTTGAGGCTCTTTCTTTGATTCGTCCATTTTTTAATATAAGATTAGATATTACTGTAAATATATAATTGTAAAACAATAATAATCAATAAAGTACATTTAAAAAATTATTAAAAGTATAATGACCTTAATATGTACAAACTTTGACAAATGACAAGTAAAAAAAATGTAATATAATTTTCCATAGATTTCATCACAGATCCAAAATTAAAATGTGAGATGCAGTTTTAAACTTTAAGAATGTAATTTCCAAAATAAAAACAATGTGTATCTAAAGATAAAAGTCAAATGAAAATGACTAGAAAATAATGGAAGATCGACGTTATTAATGAATTCCTGTAACATTTCTCCCGAAAATCCCGTCGTCCAGCTCTTTTATAAGGTCTTTGAATCTCACGTCAACTTGCACAATTGATTGACTTGACGTTTTACAATTTCTTATTTGAATAAAAGTAATACACGAAAACCAAAAGGTTATGCTTGTTATGTTTATCTTTTTTAGTTTTGTATTGTAACTTCTTTAAAAAATGTTTGGTTTAAAATTAAAGTACTTTCTAAATGTATCTGAGAAGATAATTGTAAGAAACTTAAGAAATAGGCAGCGACCAGAGGTTAGTGCAAACCCGGGATTGAATAAAAGAATACAAGCTTTTCAAGAGCAGGGAATTAAGATCGAAGATGAAGATGCAGAGGAGTTTCTTGAAAAATCAAACAGTAATTTCTACAATGTGAGTTGGTCAGATACCTTATTTATATTTATGTTTTGATTTACAACAGAGAACTAACTCTAAGTATTGATCCAGGTTGGTGAAGCCTACAATGAACATTTAAACGAAACTTTGATAGGAAAACATGACCTACAACACAAAATTGTGAAGGAGAAGTATTTCAAAGAAAATCTGCCAAATCTATTGACTTGGAGTGAAAAAGAACAAATTCGCCATCTTGCTACAACACAACCTGATGAATGGACACCACAAAGAATAGCTGAAAGTTTCCCTGTTACAGTTCCAGTTGTAAAGGTAATATTTTAATTAATTTTTGCACACACTTTGTAATGGGAAAAAATCACAAATTATCTGGTTGTATATCAAGGCGTTTATGAGACCCATCCACAACAAGAGTAACAATTTCATAATAGATGTATTTTCATTGTGATGTTTTTTTCATTGAAAAAACTTAAAATTTTAATTGGTTTGTAAACTTTTTTCATCTTCAGAAATTATTAAAATATCCTTGGAAGCCGGCCACTGAAGAACGGATAGCACGGCATGATGCATCCGCTATGAGAAATTGGAGAGAACTTAAGGAGGGAAATTTAAATATACCAGAAGACTTAAAAAAACGCTTTTTAAAGTTTTCCGAACGTCAAATACCTCCTCTCAATCAGAAATCAATTAAAGTTGACTTAACACAGGCGGAAAAAATAGGTGAATTTGAACAAATTATACAAACGTGTGCAAAAAAAGATAACGCTGAAAAAGAAACAGAAATGTGTGATAAAACACAGCAAAACAGTAACAATAGAAAGAGCAACAAAAAAGAAACAATAGATCCACAAAGATTGACATTACAGGATTTAACTGCAAGAATAAAAGAGAGATTAGAAAGCGGAAGTGAAGTGGATACTCCAGATAGAATAATCATAGACACTGTAAGCGCAGAGAAATCAAAACTTGTAAATAATACAGAAATTGATCTAGTAAGTTATAAAGAAGAAAGTAATTTAAAAGAATACAAAGAATCTGATACATCAATCACTGCAATAAATTATCCAGAACGAATAAGGATTCCTAAAAAAGCGTACAAAAAAGGTGCCACATACAAAATGAATGATTGCTACTACGATCATGACGGAAGATTTTTATACCGAGTTTTAGGTTTAACAGAATAATTATTGAATAAATGAAACATCAACATTCGAAGCCTTATTCTTTTATACAAAAATTATATGCATTTTAATATAATAGGTCCATTACAGTAAAATAACTTAAATATACTCAAGTAATATATTGCTAGAATGTGTACACACAAAAGTTATTGCATGTTTTTTTTATTATATTTTTTACATACAATTGTTATTCAAGATATAAAAATACAGTATGTGACCTATAACATATTTATTTTATATGAAACAAAAAGATATGGCTGCAATGATCACAATTTAACTAAAATGTAGTGCTAAATATTTTTTATCTTACAACATATATTGAAAAGTTTGCATTATTTGATTATTAGGTCTTTTGAGTATAGAACATAAAGCATTTTGTACCTAACAAGCTTGCAATTCCTTTTTGTTTGTTTAAATTCATACTCTTTTGCAAATTATGTATGAATTTATCTTCTATCTAACTCAATTCATTTGAATGTTAGGCCATAGAAGTATGTATAGGGGCACTGCAATATCCACGCTGAGGCTTAATAAAATTACATTATTCCCTCTATAAATATAAACAGTCTACTGATTTCTTTTTAAACTATATATCCAATGTATTTTATAATACTTTTAACATTTGGCAGTACATTTGACTTACATATTTTCAGATTTGCCAAATTCATTTCAAAAATTTACTTAATATAACAAAAAATGTATTTATTTTCCAATTGATTTTCACAAAGTACAACATGAAATGTTATTTTTAATGCATTTTATTAATAAAATCAATATTTAACATAATTTAATACTATATACCTAAACAGCAATATCTGCCTTCTAAACAACATTCATAATTATGTACATTTTGTTTCCAACTAATACAATTTAAATACTTCAATTTAGCACCCACTATTCAAAAATTAGCAAAAATAATGCATTGAAAATTAAAATTTTAACACGCATTTCCCGTTGGACCGATTGATCGGCGATAAATAGGCGGATCGGCCCAACGGCAAACACCTATTTTAGCTGTGGGTTTTTACAACTGTGAGACATTGTTGTCTCTGTTTTTTCAAAGCGATTGATTGGGATGACAATATATGTCACGATAAGAACAACTGAAATCCCGAGTTATAGTCAAAGAAGGATATCTGTCCCGGTGAGAGGAATTGCCATCGCGGTTCCTTCTGTCAGAAAAAATGTAAAACCAAGTAGGTTTTACAGTAAGCATAGAAAATTATATTAAAGAAAAAACACAAGACAGCCATAGTACAAGAATCTTGTGACATTTTAAACATTAACAAAGGCGCTAGTGAGATGTCATCATTTAGTTTAACTTATGCCTTATGCCCTCCAGGCAATATATCTGCTTATCTGTGGGTTTCTGAGACCAAATTCTCTGTATTATTGATAACGCCACCGTATTCATTATCTTTGAAAAAACGGAGAACACAATATGATAATCGAATACTTTGATCTCAGAAACTCACGGTGTATATGAAAATTCACAGCAATAGCAATATATTTCAAAACGTTAGCGTTAATTAAATTATTTCATTGAAAAATACATGAGAAATGCGACAGAAGCTATATAAGATTGAATTCTTTTAAAATAATATTTAATTTAAAAGTTAAAAAAAAACTTATAAGGCTACATAAAGCAATGATTTTTATATTCATTGTTATAGTTAAAAAATTTAATGATTATTTCGATTTATCTTCGTATTATAATTAAAATAAATATGATAGAATTCACTTTCGAGTCGTAATTTATTGCTATACATAACAGTATGTCCTTTTGTTATATGCTTTGCAATTTATTAAATAATTTTTGCTTGAAATTGAACCCAGAATTGTATATAGGCAGCAAAAATAGGTATACTAAAATACCACAGGGTTATTTTTTAATTACAGTAAATAATTTTTGCACATATATCACAAACATGTTAAAATTAAACACTTATCTAATACTTTTGAAAAAGTGCAAATGATTTCGAAACTTTTATATTTTAGAACCCGTTTAAATAACATTTTATGTATTTTATTTATTAATAATTATAACCACAAATTGGGGCAATTTTACGTGAATATACACTAATTAATTTAGGCCAATATTTATGATGTTTACTAAGAAAGCATTCACGTCGGTCATATAATAAGATAGGCAGAGTTATAAGCAAACACCTGAGTAAAATACATTTCCCTCTTTCTATTTCATTATGCTTGCAAAAATTTGCTTTTTAACAGTTAAAAATCTGTCTTCCATATGTTTATATTCGCGACACGAATAAAGGGGTGAGTAAACTGGTTTTTTCTTCAGTGATGTTTTCTTTTTATTACTTTTGTACTATTTTATTTAAAAGAAAACTATTCAAATCACGACATAAACATTAACCAATGGTTTAATTTTGTGTCTACGTCAGCATTAAATCTTGCTAAAATGTTAATTTATTGCAATATTTTTCAATTTTTGATGGCCTATTCAAATGATATCGGCTCGGAAATATTTATGGACGCAAATTTGTTAAATAATGCGATCCTCCATACGACGCACATACATTTAGATAGGACAACGCGATTAGTAATAAAATCTGAATTAAATTGTAAAATCATCGTAAGACGATTACGATACATGCAAAACAGTGAATATTTTATTTTCAGTGGGTTTCTCAGAAATAAATGATATAGGTTGCTGGAGTTTACTGGATAATGACGACAGGAGAGAGACAGATGTTGACAGAGGAATGACATGATGGTTTTCGTCCAGTAGACTATCGTGCGAGTGCTAGACGTTTGAAGTAATGTCGGCAGCAAATCGCAGTAGGCGAGGGCGGCAAGTCTGTAGGGCGCGCCTCGCCGCCTAGCTGCTCGAGCGCGCGTGTGTATTCGCGCTGTAGGGCCACCAGGTCGATGTTCTGCTCGCCCAGCGCCCACATAGACAGGAATACTATGTCTCTGGAGAATTATATACATTTTTTACTTATCTTAATTTAAAATAATTCTAAATAAAAGACGTGGTAATTTTTTTATCACAGAAAGGAGGAAACCAGGCAGCACCGGGAACCCCAGATGCAATGCCATCCTTTGAGAATAATAACATTCAAAGTGACTGCAAGATATATTTTTGGAAAGTAATTTACCTATAAAAGGATGGGTATCGTTTGTTGGGGTTGGAGGTTTCGCGCCAGGCGGCCAGCTTGCGCAGCGCGTCTGACAGGTCGTTGCTCAGCAACCCGTCCAGCACCGCCACTATCACCCTGGACAAACATGAAAAATTTCACTGGCATTCAAAATATGATAGAAGAAAAGTATAACAACAATATACGTAAATGTCATAGTGAGAATGTAAGTGATAAAAATATATATCAATGCAATGGGGAGAAAAATTGAAAGTCCTAAGTAGGTGGCTCCAGCGGCAACAGTTCGCTGTCATTGGTCAAATGGTTTAATCTTTATACATTATCTTAACGTTTTTTTATGTTTTTTTTAATTGTATGTGCCGGTATTAAAAGAGTTCTGGAGCCAGTATCAAAGCTGGAAAATGAGCTATTTTGTTACAAACAATTTATGAATTTTCTTTAAAAATTACTTATTTTCTTAATTCTTTGTGATTTAACTGAATTAATCGCTATGATTACAGTCCATAGAGCACTTAATATACAAAGTAAAGTGTTTTTTGTATGTCTGTGGTACATTTAATGCTATTGTCACTCTTGATCATGCCATATATAGCAAACAAAAGGCCATTTTCCACATAATCACTGCAGGAGATTTCCACGTGCCTCTTACGTGTACGACTATAACTTACGTCTGCGCTGCACGTGAGTCGTGTTCAGTGAGGAGCAGCGCGCGCAGCTGCTGAGAGCGCGGCGGCTGCGCGCGTCGTGCTCGCCACACCGCGTGCAGCGGCGCACCCGCCTCCGCACCCTCGCCCCCGCCCCCACCCGCACCCCGCGACATCTCCCAGTAGCACTGCACCACGCAACCTGCACACAATACAAACTCAATCATTGTTCAAGCGCAATTCGATGACATTACGTTAGAGGGCGCCACTAAAAAATAAAAAGATACTGGCACATAGTGGCGCCCTGAGATTTTATTTCTGTATCATATCGAGTAGTGTTTTTTGTACCGTTATAAACAAAGACCAATAAATCTAAAATTTTAATGGTAATTAAGAACCTTGGCCTAATAAAAAGTCAAAGGGTTTCGGAGAGCAAAATTTGATACCATAATAAGTACGAGGAATAAAGATATTTTTATTTTGTAATAAATTTTATGATTATTTCAGGATTAACAACGGTGCCAAAGAAGTTTAACATTCTGAAAAAAGGCAGATGGTCTGATTAATTTTTATTTCCTTTACTATCACATTAGTATTTTCTTTCAGACTGATAATATAAGGCAGATAGGTAAATCTAAGTATGAAACACAAATTTCTACAAAGTTCCTTAGGTAAATCTTACCGGAGTTATCAGTGTCATGCAGTGTATCACAGCTCTGATACTTAGCGGAGAAGTTGGGACAGAGCAGATCCGGCAGATGGTTCTCAATGTTAGCGCGCTCCAAGAACCACACCAGGTTCCAGTACACTATTGGATGGGACTCCACGAACTCTGGCTCCGCTAAACATAAGTCACCTTCTCTACCTATTGGAGAAAAAACTCCGTTAAAATAGTAAAACACCGTATTTTTTTTCTTTAAACTCCGTTTCTTATAAAAATATGAAAAATGTAAATATATTTATGCTCACCCAATATAGACTCGAATTCCTTCCTTAAAACTAAAGGATTCAAATATGGTACGCTTATTGTTTCAGGTTGACTTTGCCCTTCTCGATATATCTGCAAATAAAAGTTTTCAACTATAACACTGATTTACAATTAATTAAAATACGCCTCGCTTCGGATATTAGAATGCCAGCAACCGTTCAGATTTGTGGCGTGTCAGAATTAACATAAACCTTACTTAAAACTTTCAAATTTTATTTTTTACTTATTCCGGATGTTATGTTGAACCAAACAAGAAAAATAGCTTTTTGTATAAAGTACTAGCTGTCGCCCGCGACTCGATTTTTTTCACCTTTTAAACCTTTTCTATACATTCACGAAGATTTAAAGACCAAGATGAATAAATCCGTTGAGCCGTTCTCTAGTTTTAGCGACACTAACAAACAGCAATTGATTTTTATATATAAAGTATTTTAAAGCTACTATGTTATAGGTATGCGTGCGTATACGTGCGACTATGTTTATCTACGTGTACGTGCGTGCGTGTACATGCGTCCGTTGGTGTGTGTGCGTACCTGTGCAGTGAGTAGCGGCACTGTATGCCTGCCGCATGCTGTGCAGCGCGTGTTGAGGTTGGAGTCGTCGGCCGCCCAGCCCGCCATTATATCCTCGTCGTACAGCGCGCCCAGACACTGGTGACACTGTGAGCATGACGTCAGCTGTACGCGCACCGACGCCTTCTCAGGATTCGAACTCTCCTACAACAGTTTTATGGTATAAACAAAGGGTAAAAACCATACGCTGGTAACTAAATAAAATGACCAATAGGCATGTAAATCGACCTAACTTTGCTATAATAATTGACATGAATGTTCTAAACCTTCATTTTTGTAACTCTTCAAATAAATGCTAAACTCAAACATCTGCTAAATAAATATTGGAATATTATTGTTTTCTCCAATGTTACTCTAACATACAGCTTTTATATAAGGTATATTCATAAGAACACATTGTATATTATGAGCAAACTTACAGCGTGTTGTGGGTATAGATTGTCAGGTAGATGGGATAGCAGCGTGGAGAGAGAGCCGCGCTCCATACTGCACGCAAGCTCGGCGTCGCTGGACGAGCGTCTGAACCCGCCGCCGATAGAACCCTCTGTCAATACAATGATACATCTATACTTAAAGTTTAAAAATATCCTAAGCCTCAATAGCCTAATGGTTAAGAGTTTGGACTACGGATCTAGTGTGGTAGATTAGAATATAAATGCCAAACTTACCATCAGGATTGTACTCAGAAGATCCATCATTCGAGTCCTCTTCAGTGATAAAGCTCGTCAGTGCACTGGTCGCGTTACCGAAGGCACCTTTGACGGGAGTCGAGTTTGCTGATATCACTTCCTTCATTTCATCGAACTTCTTCGCCATGCTGGTCGCAGCTGACTTCAGACTGCTAAGACCGCTCTGCAATAACTCGTTTGACTTCTTACCCGCTATACTCGTAGGACTGGAATATAATATATACAACTTTTGATTGATTTTTTTCCTGAAAATATTTACATCAAATCCTTATGCCTTGTTTACATTATGCCAGTATAGTAGGACAGTAGCGCTAGCCTGTTATGAACTTACGCCTGTTAGTGTGTACATTATGCCAGCGCTGAATATGAGTGCTACTGTGTTACTGTACTGGCAAAATGTAAACCAGGCATTTTTCTTGCGATCATAAACAGACAAGCACGTCAGTTTACGATCGAATAAATAAAGGATTTATAAGAACTAGTCCACTAGACTGCAAATGTTAAGTTCTTACGCTGCTAATGTCATAATGGTAAATTATGACGTCACTAAACATTAGGTAGGATCGTTGCAGTAAGAATTTTATTAAGTTATCTCCATATGCGTTTAAAAAGGAAGTTTGTAAATTCGCCAAAATTATATTTTATTTAATCCTGATAGTATACTGGGTGATAATGAGTATATAAGCCGAGTTCACACAATATATATACCAAGCAAGCAGGCAATAAGCAAATGTGCAAATTAAATAAAGCAAGCCCAACCATTATAAATAAGAAATGATGATTATAACATAGCATAAAGTCAGTCGCCAAAGAAAAAATGATTTTCATAACGAGTCAACTAGATACTGGATAGAACTGGATAACCGCCACCCAAGACAGACACGAAACAGAGAAATAAAATAACCCAATAAGGAAAGTATAAGAAAAGAATTTTCCAACTTATTCTATTCGATTTGAAATTATTTATATTTCTTGACAAAACATAGTAAGTTTGTACGATGCGTCATAATATATTAAGACCACAGATTGAACCTTCACCTTGTAAGCAAGGAGAAACTGGTCTTACCTGAAATAATTCTCGATCATTGCCTTGCCAAGTTTCATGTTTTCCTTGCGGAAGGACAGTCTGCCGGGCGAATAGCGTCTAAAGAAACAAATATTCTAGCAATGCTGTGTGGTGCTGTTTAGAAACAAATGGATCTAATATACTAACTCACCTAGACCCAATTTTCACTAAGCGCTAGTGGAATTAAGACATAATAGGATAAGGCTGAAGTCGCGGCTTGTGAAAATTGGTCCTAAGAGAAAGCATAAAAGATGCTATGTTTTATAAGGAGTGATTGAAATGATACAGCCTTTATTCTTATAAGTCTGTAGTTCTATTTGTTTTTTTTTAACTAATTAGCTACATTAAAATCATGTGATAAAAATGTGTTAAAACTAAACATGCTTCGATAATGTTATTAATAATTTATAACAGAAATCAGATAATCTTAATTTGATAGTCCTCGTAATGTACGTGTCACAGATACTAAAATACAAAACTCAATGGACAGTATTAAATAATTAAAATCAGCTGATTCTCTAATTTTAAAAATAAAATCTGAACGCAACAAAAAAAATATAAAGTGTATTATGAACAATAAAATCAATATCACAACATATCTAGAGCATAGCAAAACACATATATAAAATTAATTAAATATAAATACTCACTTGAAATTCGTACATTTTACATTCATAAATATTAATAAAAAAAAAACTTCAATACCTACTGTGGGATCTTTGAAAAAAAAATCCAAATAAATTCACTAAACTTGGCACACGAATTCATCTATACTAATATAATAAAGACGAAGCGATTTTGTAAAGTTCTTTCACTGCTGCTAAGTTTCTAGTCAATATTTATTATTTTTTTTAATTCCGCGCGGACAAAGTCGCAGGCAACTGCTAGTATGTAATATTTTGTTGTAGTGTAATACTCACCCGAAATTGATCTTAAGCGTGTTCCCAAAACTGACAAGACCAGATGACATAGTTCCAGGCGCTGTCTCGCTCCTGTGCAGGTTCCTATGGGAAATTATCCAGGTTTAATTTACTCTACAGATATATAAGAAATAGCTGGGCACAGTTACACTGTTATTGTTTGCAGTAAACGTTTTTTTAGTCAAGTATAATGATTTTCATATATCTTGACGGCTCTAAATTTCATTTGACTCGCTGCGCAGAATACAATGTGAGGTGTGTTGTAGTGCAGCGGGACGCGGGGGGAGGGAACTGCGCAGTGCGCCGATGACCTTGAGCTGCCAAGATATTTGAAAAGAGTAGTACCAACTTAACAACAAACAATACTAATATTAAAGTATCCATTTAACCAAAAAAAATCTCGATAATCTAAATTTGCTATAATATAATACCCCCATCGTAGTCAACACTCGCTTTAAAGTCGTCCAATGCAATTTGTCAAGATGTCACAATGGAGCACATGTCTCCTGTGACGATCGGGTAAAAGATTACAAAAGTTAGATATACCCTGGCTGGTCATCCTTATCCTCATCAGCATAGGAGCCAGCTCGACGACGGAACAGCTTGGGGCTGGCACTGAGCTCGTGGCGGCGCTGCGGCGGGCTACGCGGCGGAGAGGGCGTGCTCGCCGGCGCCACACCCACCTCGCTCGCAGCCTCCACACCTAACGCACCCAGTGGATCATCCGCCAGCACAGGTGTACGGGGTGATACTCTGGAATATATACAGAATAAGATATACTTTTAGACATCAAGTCTTGTGGACTGATTGATACAGTAATATTATTCTTATTTTCTCACTAATATCAAAATGCAAAAGTTTAGATGGATGGATCGATGTTTATTAATAATAAAATTTGGTAGACAGGCAAACTACAGTCTGGAATATAATCATAGGAACACAACTCAGTTTTTTTTATCTTACGCGGATGAAATCGGACGCAATAAAATCTCTTTCTGACTTTGACATCGCTTACCATTTTACTATAAAGCTACTAAAAAAAACTTAAAAAAACAGTAGAGATGACGGACAATTTATATTTATTGTACATACTTGAGTGGAGATGTTTTGGCTTCTTCTTTGTTAGATATCGCGTTCAGTTCCTTGTCAGTTTCCTCAGGGAAACTTAATGTTCTCGAACATCGTGACTTGGGATTTGAAGTACCTGTGGAAATTAATGAATTTCCAATAAGATATATTGCTATCTCTTTTTTATCAATGAGAATGAGAGAGATAACCATATATATCTGTATGAATATTTTCTACAGTGGAAGTACTTACCACTAGAGAAAGATAGCCTCTGTAGATTCTGTACAATTTGTGCGTCGCCAGCAAAACTCTCTGAGCGCGTCAGTATGCGCAGGTCTGTGGGGCTGTCGGGGCTCACGTGGATCGTCTGCAAATGTTATAAAGTCAAAATAAATACAAAATTATTTGTCAGTAATAAAATCAAGTTCCACAAGTTTGGAGAGAAATGTTGAATATTCTTACTACAGACTTAAAATGCTAAAAAAAACTACATTACTATTTTTTTATAACAGAAGGGAGCGAACGAGCAGCGGGAACACCGAGGTGTTCAACGACGCCCATGGACATCAGCAATACTAGAGGAACGGCAGATGCGTTTCCGGCCTTTGAGATGGTGATACGCTCGCTTCTTGAAGGACCCTAAGTCGTATAGAAGGTATCTCCAGACTATTAATGGATCTTGATTAAATTTAGCACAGATGTAGAACATAGTCTGGAAGAACATATAGTTTTTTTAATACCGCGCGGAGGGAACTATAAAATTTAATTGAATTGTATTCTGTTAATAACATTAATTCACCTGACGTTTTTCTTTAATGGATAACGGCGTCGGTGGGGTCGTTTCCTCACTACCCAGTGAGTTACTTCTTGGTCTGGTCACTTCACTTAAATCTTGATTAGATGGCAAACCTAGACAATATAAAATAATTATGAAATATTACGTTATTAGAAAAAAGGATTTGGAGGTTGTGTGAAGTGTTCAATACACTTTAAAAATGATAGTATTGCCTCTGTATAGTACATAAACTCATTTCATTTGATTTTTTAATTTTTTTTTTCGAGAAAATCGTACGCCATTATAGGCACACATATAAAAAAAACAAAATATTGCCAAATAGGCTTTCGCAACAAACAATAACCATAATCTTTCTGTTCATGAATAGCCTCTAAAAAGAAAATTGTTTATGATTTAACCTGAAATAAGTATGCCAGCCGCAGTTGAGAGACCATGTGCACGCGGTCGTCGCGGCGCAGCACGTACTATGTTGGCGCGTCGCCACAGCGCCTCCAGTGCTCCGCCCGCTGGAAACAGTACGTTTTATCATTTTTTCCTTTCCTACTTATTGTATTTTATTATCCAAGGATTCATTTTCAGCAATTAGTTAAGTTTAATATAAATTTAATTAAAAGAATGGAAATCATTGTCAAAATTTCATGACCATGGCCGTGGCCGTGCAAGATCTAGAGGGTGGAGCTACCTTTAATGTGGTCTTATTCTTATTTTTTAAATATATTTAACCTTTTTCAATTCACTAGGGGGAGGGAGTTCTCTAATGCCCTCCTTGGCAACGCCCTTGAGGCTAACTTACCTGAATCAATACTGGATCGGCTACGAGCGTGCTCTTGCAACGGCGGCACCTCAAGTTCGCCGGACGCACGCACTCGCGGCAATGTATTGCTACTGCCTGCGAACACATATTTCTTGTAACTTTCTTTTTAACTACACGATCTTAAAGAGTCACTGGTAAATAAATAAAAATAATACAGTAGTTTTTACCTGGATTGTGCGGCAGATGTCCGGCGGCGCGGCTGGCTCGCAACGCGCCCGCTTTACGGAACAATGCTGCACCTACCACAGCGATTCGCAACTTGTTCCAGAGCAGCTGCGATCCGCTGAAGTAAAATTTAACAATAATTAAAAAAAAACTGTCAGTCATCAACGGGTAACTATTTGCATGCATTATTTTATTTGTTTATTATCTATACGATCAAAACTGGTGCTAGCCTATTCTTAATATTACCTAGGCATATCCTTCGGCCAGGCAGCCTCCAGCACGCAGCGGTTGTAGTATCCATAGGTGAGTGCATTTGGCTGCAGGCCAGCGCGCTTCATGAGGAAGAGCAGCTGCACCGCCAGCACGGGCAGAGAGTGCACCCCGCACAGCTGCATCATCACCCGGTAACACACCTACGTACGAACGAGTTATATTATTTGTAAGGGTCCGTTCAGACTAGGGTGGTGGAGAGTAATTTTTTGATCGCAAATAAAATTGAGCTTTATAAGATTGGAACAAGGTTTAATTTTACTTTGCTTCTTTTCTTATCTAAAGTATCCGTAAAAAAGGTCTTTGTGAATAGATCCTCCACATATGTTGTAGTCCCTTTCACTCTCATAGAAATAAAAGAAATACGATGGTCAATGTGAAATGACAATACATCTCACGGCGGTCGAATTTCATAGAAGCTAGGCAAGCTGTGGTCATATAATGTCTGGTTTACATTATTCCAGTCCAACGATCGAATTCAGCGCTGGATCACAACTGGAAATATGTAAGCCAACATTGGATGTAGTGCTCGAAACAACAGGATGAAGGGTCACTGCGCAGCTAACAGCTCAAGAACAATTGCCAAGATATTTGAAAAGACGTACCTCATCACACGGTACTCGCAGTTTAGTAGCACGTTCTAGTAGTTCAAAAGCATTGCGCAATGCGGCGTGCTCGCGACCTCTCTGCAACGCCAGCCGGCACGGCAGAGCCAGAAAGTACAGCGAGTAGCACGCGCCTAGTAGGCACTTCGCCCACGTCTCCGGGTATTCACTCGCCTTTTTAGCTAGTCTGTGAACCAAAACAGAATCAATGAATAATTGTAAAAATGGTAAAATAAATATTTTATTTGTCACTTTTTCTTTACTTAATAAGTGTTCAATGTATGAAAAATATAGGTATTAAATACAGCATTCGAGTGTTTTAATAAAGTTTGAAATAAATACATCTCTACATTTAATAAAAACTAGCTGTCGCCCGCGACTAAGTTCGCGCAAAATTTTAGAGATTCATGCAGTCGTTCTGAAGAACCTTCGAACAAAATAATATTGGTATGAAGTAATTGATGTGTGTACATAATTTAATATTCAAGAAAATATTTATAAAAAGTAAACAGAGTTTGTATTGACCTTTGTGCAGCTGCGATCTCCTGCTTGGTGCGCTTGGCCATGGGGGAGGCGTCGGCGAGGGATTCTGCGGAGGCGAGCGCTGCTGCGGGCAGAGTCTGCAGCGCGCCGCCGCGCCCGCCCGTGCAGCCCCGGCACACCTCCACCAGATCCATGTCCAGCTCGAACGTCGAGTATGTATATGTCTTATCTGAAAACGATAACATATTTATTATGGATTTACACTGTTGATATACCTGTACAAAAATTATTTAATATTTTGAAATATTTTGTAAGTGGTGAAGTTTTTATACAAGTGTTAGACAGTGGACATCCAGTTATAATTTAAGTTAACAATTATACGAAAGAAGTGCAAAACACACACTGCCCAGCGCGCCGATAACTATCGGCCGCCGAAATATTTAAATGAGTTTACTTTGTAAAACGCTGGTCTACTCTAAAAAATACCTGGTTGCGGTGGATCTGGAGGTAATACGAAGACGGTTCTCTCTGATAGGTTGGATGCATCAACCCCCAGGAGAGGGTGTCCGTCACCAGCAGCCACGCGTTCGATGCACTCATCGAAAAACGTCAGCCCCACGTCCGCGTCACAAACGAACGAACGCTCTTCGATGAAGCGAGTAAACATTTGCGTACGCATCATCAGCGCGAAGAAACGCTGCTGCGTCTGTAATATAAAAGACAGAAATATTACAACGGATATAAATAATAATAAAAAAGCTATTTGATTAACTATAATTAAATCCAAACATACGACATAAAAGGAACGAATACGTATCGAACGTTTATTTCATTCAAAATCGGTTCTGTCGTTTAAGCAAAATGTGACACAAGGAAATTTACAAACTATGGGATATTGCCCGTTGGGAAGATCGGTCTACCGATCAATCGGCTCAATTGGATTTTTCCCATTGGGCCGATTAAATTTATACAATAAATCGGCCCAATGTTTTCACAACTATTAACTACTTTTTTATCTTAATGAAGTAACCATTAAACGACGCTAAGTGTATTAAAAAATCGCTATTAATATGGCTTTATCTATATTTACCTTATCTCTGGAGCGCATGAAAGCCTCCATATGGAAGAGAGCGTGCGGGTCAGTGGTGCCGACTGTAGGGGCCTTGGTGATTGGTATCAAGTAGCTCCGGTATCCTTGGAGTGTCATCGCCATAAAACGGAGGAAGGCTTCTTGTATCTTCAATTCCAAAGCTTGCTGCGAATGTACACCGATATAGATTTAAATAAAAAAAGATATCATTCAATGACCTTGAATAATAAAAGTACAGATTAAAAAAAATATATATTTATTTTACTAAACATATTTTGTATAATTTAAGTACTATGGCGTAGTAAAAGGTTAATAGGTTATGTATATTCCTATTTGAAACGCAAAGTATAATATATATTAAACATGAGTATTTAGAAATTAGCGTATGAACTTATTTAGTAATACTCACTTCTCTTCTTCTTCTTTGGAAATCTCTATCCAAACTTGTTGTAGGTTCGCCATTAAATTTATTACTGGATCGTTGAACTGGTGATGCTATAATAAAAAAGTATGACATAATGAAATACATATACATTTCTATAGACCGACAAGGATATCTGCCCGACGGGAAAAGTCCAACTAAATTAAGACAGCTCACTAGCGCCCCTCTCAACGTCAAAAAAGTGTCCCAAGATCGTTTTGTACTGTAGCTGTCATGACCATTTTAAGACATTTTCTGTCCACGTATTCAAATTTAATGCAAAGGAGAAATTGTAAATAAACTTGTCACTGACTGACGGTGTTAATTGTTTGTCTATGGTTTTATTTTGGAAAGTTTCAGTGTTTAAATTGAAGATACAAACATATGTTGGAAATAAGTCTAATTATAGCCTTATAAAGATAAAATAGATAGGTTCGTCATAATTTCTATTTCCATTGTTGCTGACTCTACAGTTCTATACTACTAAGGTCTCCCTTAGTGATTATTTATTGCTTTATGAACTTACCAGGCCGTATGTTAACATATAGTTGTTCTAACGAGTGTCGCAGCGCTCGCGCCTGTCGCTTTGGAAGCAATTTAAGCGATATATGACGCTGAGACTCGCATATCTATAACAAAAACTGACATTCAATTCACTTATATACAGGAAGAGTCTAATACAGTCTTTCCCAAAGTGGGCGATAACGCCCCCTTGTGGGCGCTGCAGGTCTCAAGTTGCAGGTTATAGTAAAAGTTTCGTTTAGAATTCTCACATTAATTAATTAATTTAATTTGAAGTTATAGTGGTTTTTAAATATATGAAAATATGGGGGGCGCTAAAAAAACTATTCTCAAAGTGGGCAGTAGACAAAATAAGTTTGGGAACCACTGGTCTAATACATTGTATAATGTTACCGTAAGTTTCCACTGCTGAAAACCGAAATCGTAGGGTCGCTTCAGAGCGAGACAAACGTATGTATTTCCTATTTGTTTGTCTTGCTCTGACGCGACAATGCATTGTTCGTACGATTTCTGCTCATGTCTAAATGAACTTTGAGCCTGGTAGAGGTATTTTAGCAGAGAAAACTTGCAGTTATTATGTAAATTGTTAGAAAAATCTAGAATAAATTGAAGTATCATTGAATATCATAAAATAAGACATAATATTAATAGCAACACTTACTGTTATATTATTCGTATCTAAATCGACGCAGGTGACATCTGGTGGTGGTTCGTACAAATCAAAAAATCTCGAATCAACACCTATTAGATATGGAAGTGGTGCGTGCAACACCTCAGCTAAGCCTGAAAATTAAAAAAAAATTACACCCTCTGCTATATGCTTTTAGACAATCATGATAACAATTTTTGGAGCGAATTAACGTGCTCTAATCCAATAGTCAAATGTCAGACATAGTGAGGATACGCTTAGTAAGGGATATTTTAGAAGGTCTAGTGTTGATACACCGGGACAGTCTTGATTTTCTTCTTAACTGTACATTATCTCTGAATTATAATTACCTAACGGACACAGCGGTATGTACGGACACTGCCATTTGAAGGGAAACAGTAGACTTGATACAGCTTCCGAAACTGCTGTTAATGTATCCGGCCTGAAATATAAACCAATTTTGATATCAGTAATTAAAAAATGTATAAACGACAGTGTTTTTAGTAATTCGAGTGTAAATGTGATACATCTCAGAAACTGTATGGGTACGTTAGACAGTATATGCACAGGTTAACAGGCTTATGGATACCTTGGCAATTATATGGATACATAAGCAAATTAATGGGTATCTTAGCAAGTGTATGGATTACCTTAACGAGTGTATAAGTATCTTCTGTTCGGTGATGGCGAGGGCCAGCAGCAACAGACAATTGTCGGGGCCGAGGTTGAGCAGCAACTGGCGGAAGCCTGCACCGCTGCGGGCTAGCGGTTGCTCATCACGACGGGTTACTATCACACGCTCGTGCGCATGCGTAGCTGACAGCTGAAAAACATATTGTCATCTAAATGAAACATTTTATATATGTACTAGCTGTTGCCCGCGACTTTGTCCGCGCGGAATTAACGAAAAATACAATTAGTAGTCTATGTGGTCTTCCGGACTATGTTCTATATCTATGCAAAATTTTATCTAGATTTGATGAGCCAATCTGGAGATACCTTCCAACATACATCCATCCATCCAAACATTCGCATTATAACTTTAGTAAGAATGTTTTTCAAGGAGATAGACATTGATTTATAAAGATACCTGTAATAATATCCTTGGCTCTGGAAATGGTACCTCCTCCAATAGATGCGTTATATATCTTTCAACTGGTATATGTAGGGGTTCCTCACTCCACGACATTTCCTGAAAACAAGCATAATATTAAATATAATTTCTTAGTTCCCTCTACTATTTATAGCATTTAACCTGATCTGAGCGTCGGTGGCTCAGGGGTTAAAGTACTTGACTAGTAATACGTAAGTCCTGGGTTCGAATCCCGTTATGTACTGATACAATATTCGATTTTCAATTCACATATGTACATTTATCCGACCTTCTGACGGTAAAGAAAAACATTGTGACGCAACCTGGACATATCTGCGAAGAAAATCAATATGTGAAGTCAACCAACCCGCACTTGTCCAGCGTGGTTGACTATGGCCTAGTCAATCCAACTTAGGGTAGGCTCCGAGCTGATGATATGAACTCACCAATATATATAGTAGCCAACGTTCGAAGGTATCACTGAAGGGCCACCGTGAGAGCAGACAGATGCACTTGATGACGTGCGTAGAGTGCGTGTTGTGGGAGACGCCCGCGCGCCAGCCCAGCTGCTCCTGTTGCCATGGCGACAGTTGCTCGTGCGGGTACCGCTCGTAGAACGTCACCGCGGACCCGTACACCTAGTTAACAAGAATTATAGGAAATTATACTATGTTTTACGTGAGAGGGTTGCCATTGCAATGACATGGAATTTAATTTTTTTATTACTAAACTTGTGGTAAACCGCAATTTCAGGAAAGCAGAAAAAAAATAAGTTACAAACACAAATACAAGCTGTTTTTTACATTACATACAACTTCAAAATTATTATTTACTAGCTGTCGCCGGCGACTCCGTCCGCGTGGATATAAAAAAATCTTAATATATAGATAAGTTAAATAAAAAGCAGCTCTTCAAAGCATAAATTCGAAAAAAAAAATGAATAAATAATATCCTACGTCCGTCTCCTGGCGCTAAGCTACCTCCTCACCAATTTTCAGCCATATCGGTAAAGCTGTTCTTGAGTTATAAATAGTGTAACTAACACGACTTTCTTTTATATAATATATATAAGAAAGATATAGTATATAGATTCATATTTGTCTAAGTGTGTGGCAGATAGAGATATAACATCAGCAGTAAATACAAACCTTGTCGGTAGCATCAGCGACTGTTAGTACGAAGGTAGAGAAGACAGGTTTGGGCGCCGCCGCGTTGTTAGGCCACAGTTCCAGCGTTGCGCCCATAGGTAGACAGAACAATGGCACGGATGTGGGGAAAGCCAGACTACGCCTGTCTACCATTGGGTACCTGAATATGGGGTGATAAAGGTCTGTTACCGTTGGTTTTTGATACCAATATCCTTGTTTAAAACATATTGTGCGTGTAATTTTAATCGATGAGTTTAAATCATTGATCCTCATATTATAGTTTAAAATATCTTAACTAAGTGTATATGACATCGATGATGTTAGACATTTGTCTGTAATATCATCTTCAAAGTAAATTAAAATCACCTTTTAGTGTATTATACAATTTATTTTACAAGTGAAACCATACAGGTTCGTCTAACTAAACATGTCGGAGAGTGTATTTAGGACGCCTTTTGATGTTCAACACTAATTAATGCTAATTTTAACGTACATCCATTAATTAAGGTCACAGATTAAATATAAAAATGTGGACTAAATTTTTCTGCTGTAAATTGGAATAAAGTTAATAAAAATTACGAAGGCACACTATGCCCATATTTAGACACTATGACCTACAAAATCTGACCTACCCTAAATAAGAAAATACTAACCTGAACAATACTTCTGGCTTGTATGCAATAAGTGGTGGACGGTTCATTGACTTTTTGTAGCAAAGGAAAACATCGCTACCTATTAGACCTGTAATTTAAAACAACTTACGTGTTAATTATTCTGTAGATAAACGAAACATTCTTTGACGGCACTGCAATTAGCATTTGCCGATGTTCAAACGCACTGTGTATGTAATCAAAGCTACTCGTTGTTCCAATTTAGGGCATATATCGGGTTCAAAACTCATAATATTGGTAACTTTTCATCATAATTTTGGACCCAGACGACTTAAAAAGACAGTAACAGTGCATTTAATCAATTGCAGTACTGCACTGTATGTTCATCTGTGTCATTATTCTACCCTAGTGGTAATAAACATGAGGTTATCTATATGAGATTTTTTTTAGTTTAGAGACTCTTAGATACTATTACTGATTCAACTTCATAATATTAGTATACAATAGAGACTTTGTTAACGCGAAATTAAAAAAGTAGTAAGTAATATTCCTGCAAACATCAGCTCAAAGCTCCCTCCCGGGTAAAGTCCCGTTAAAATCGGCCTAGCTGTTTTGGGATTACGCGATGTTGAGGATAGAAGGATAAAAACTTAAAAAATTATAAATAATACGTTATATTCGTAAAAGATGTTTTTTTTTTCGATATTATCAACTCCAATTTTATTGTACAGATCGGTTTCTACGGGTATTTAATGATAATAAGTTATGTTTGGCTTTATTTCTTCGACATTTAACCTTTTTATATTTACAAACCAGATTACCTTGCTTAATCGTATTATAGTATTTCAATTTGTAGTAGAAATGAACCAGTTTTTGTATGTAATATGACCGCATACGAAAGGCATATAGGTATTTCACGAGGACATTTCAACAATTAACATTAAACCTCGTTAAATTTTATTAAAATTACACTTCGTCTAAATAAACAAGTGTAATTGTATAATAAATTGCACTATCATTTATTCATATTAGTAGAATAAATTACAAAAAAATTGGATATTGTTTGTGGACTTTCCGGGTGAGAGGATGCATGGAAAGGGAAGATATTTTCTCTCTGTGCATCCTTTCCTTCGTCAATTAAAGGTAGACATCGCATATGCAATTGCGTATGTCTATGGGCAACGGACACTTCGCTATTTCAGCGATTTCGGGTGACCGCTCGCTCGTTTGCCACCTTATGATATAATATTTCCAAACGACTTAGATTATAAGAAGGTTCTGTAAGAAGTCTGTCTTTATTTGCTTTTCTGACTGTTATATTTAAAATGCTAACGAACATTATTATACAAAAACACGTTACTTTTACCCTTTAATGCCATAAAAAAAAGAAACAAAACACCAACCTTTGTTCAAATTCTTGTTAATCATACAGAAGGCATGTGGCGACATCTCTCCTCGGCTGGTCACCACTACACATATGTCGACAACCACGAGCGCATTACAAGGCGCGGAGGGATGCGCTCGTCGATACGTGATGAATGTCTTCGCTGTTGAGTTATTGACATTCGCCACACGACCACCCACAGATACCATGACCATCTCAGCGTCCGCCATAAGACGTTCCCGACCATCGTACATAACACCTATAAGCAATTCATACTGCAAAAAGTATCAAACGTACCTCGAAAGGAGGAACTCTATTACAAATCTTATTTCTTACTAATATTATAAATGCGAATGTTAAGACGGATGTTTGATTTTTGATTTAGCATAGATGAACATAGTCTGGACGAACACATAAGCTACTTTTTTCCGCGCGATTGGAGCCCCGGACGACAGCTAGTTTGTGAATGTTATGAACTTTTTAATAAACTTATCTCGCGGCTCATCCCAGATCTGTATAACCAATATTACTCGGGAATAATACATCTTACTAATGGTAAAAAAATTATGAAATCAGTTTTGCAGTATAATTTTGTTTACTACAAACGTACAAAATAGGAGATATGAGGTATTATAAACATTAAAGAGTTTTTAGCCTGTGTCGGTTTATTTATATTCACTGTTTAAAAGTATATAAAATCATTGATATAAATCAGACCGAGTAAGGCCAGTGTGTGCATTACAGCATTGAAAATAGCGCACTTCTTCATAAGGTTATGTATTTTTAGAATCGCTATTTAATAACTTATATGGCTTCTTTAAAGTATACAAGCCATTAAAATTTAATCTTATATATAATAATACATAGTAATATACAATACCCTGTTTATTTCTAGATTAATTTATGGGAATTAATTACAAGGTCACACTAAATATAGAGGATGTTTGACTGAAATTCTTATAAAATAGTAAAATTAATTTGTATATGGCTAATATCGGAATACAAACTAAGTCGACCAGATGATGTCTTGTCAGTGAAGATTAATTTTAAGAGTGTGCCTGACAAGGATATAGTTTAAAATGTTCTGATAGTACTTGAGAGATTTTATCGAGACGTCGGATAAATGTACATATGTTAATCGGAAATCGAAAAACACATTGGTACATGGCGGGATTCGAACCCAGGACCTGCAGATCGCAAGTCAAGTGCTTGATCCCTGAGCCACCGACGCTGTTCCGTAGTCCATATACAAACATCCAAAGGTCTGAATAATTAATGTAACGTCCATCATGCTAATGCATGTGCAGAATAAAGAATTGTGATTATAATTAAAACTGTATATGTTACCATCAGATTTTAAACATCGTTATTTTAAAATCTCACTAAACATATTATAAATCATCGAAAATTTAAAAAATGCAAGCATTTATAATTTTATTTACTAACTATGACACAGTCCATAGGTAACATATTGCAAGTTTTTTTTTACTGGAACATATACTAGGGATGTGTCATCAACCTATCTGATTTGCAACAAATTGTATTTTGAAATAAATGGTTACAAATACGGATGTATCGCTCATAAGCGTAGGATTGTGCACTAATGCGGGTGGGCGAAAACATAACTTCTATTCAGAGTAATTTGCCAGTTTATGCCGTTTTCCTTACTTACATAATCTTAATACTAAAAAACAAAATTTAGCAAAAAAATAGTTTTATCACGGACTAAGGAATGAAATATTGTCAAAATAAATCCCACTGATGCTAAAGAATGATAAAATATATAACTAGCTGTTGCCCACAACTTTCTCTGCATAAAACTTAATTAGTAGCCTACATGTTCTTCCAGACTATTATTACATCCATGCCTTTCATCAAGATCCGTTCATCCATTCTGGAGATACCTTCAAATAAACATCCATCAATCCATATAAACATTCGCGTTTATAATATTAGTAAGATAAAAATCAAGTACTCATTCCTTAGCATGGAAAAATCTTAGAAAATATCAACAACACAGTACAAGAATACTATTCAAAGTTTACCATACACAAAAAATTAAATGTTCAACCACGCGTAAATCTTTTTACAGATACAAAATATAAAAAACCCAGCAATGGGTGTGGCATGGTGCTGGATAACTTTATCTTTCTTATCTACAATGCCCTAACACTGTGTAAGTGATATAAAACGAATCACTGTGTTATAACAATGTCAATCTGTATTCATATATATTAATATAGCTGTCCTACGCAAATCTTTCTATGCATAATTAAAAAAAAAACTTAATCAGTAGCCAATATTTTCTTCCAGACTCATTTGACCTATGAAAATTTGATTGAAATCTGTTGAGCTGTTATGCAAATACCTATCAAACATCCATTATATTAATACCAATAAATTATTGTATATACTTTGTACTATTACTAGAAAACATTAGTCAAGATATGCACATTAGTGACATCCACGCACCCTGCAAGTTCACATTTATGTGTAAAATAACAGTGGCATTCAATGTGTTGAATAACATTAACTTCATCTAGGATTATTAATAATAGTTTCATTGATTAACACCTTATAGGGCTTTTCAGAGGAAGACAATACATTAGGTTATATAAATCAAGCAGGTTAAAAAATTATTTAATAACCAAGACTTAAAACTATATATGGACTAGCTGTCACCTGTGACTCGGAATTAAGAAGTAGCCTTGTGTTCTTCCAGACTATGTTCTATATGTATGCCAAATTTCACCATGATTCATGCAGCCTTTCTGCAGATACTATCCAACAAACATCCATCTATCTACTCATCTAAACATTTATAGTATTAGTAAGATTATAATAATCACTTACCTATATCCACTAAGGGGGGTTTGTCACGTCCCCTTCGTAAACATAAAAAACACTCAAGAGATCGCATTGAGCCATGGTTCAAGTTAGCTGATAGACCAGTTGGAGTAAACTCAACTAACTCATATCCACTTGGCACTGTTTCTCCAAGGCTCGGGAAGAGAACACCTAATGAAATAATTGGGTTTATTTATCAACAGTTATGTTTACATTACAATTAAATAATTTCTTGCAGTCTTTTCTCAATTGAAGTATATTAAATGATTATTATATTAATCCTTGATACATCAAAAGTGTCTCTTTGTGGATAAGATTCATGTGCTATTTACTCTGTAGATATTATGTGCTGCACAAAATATTAACTACTTTAACTGCATATACTACATGTATTAACTATTCAAGGTTTTTTGACATGCATAATAAGCATCAGTCTTGGAGTTCTGGAAATTTTCCACTTCCATAGTTTTCAAATTTATCATTTGTTAAAAGTTGATGATTGAAATTATATGCATAATATTCAGTTCTAATGTATACATATGTAAAATATTACATTTACTTTTGCAATATACAAGTATTGAAGTGTAATATGATACACCACAAACTATGTGGTCAAGCATGGTATTAAATTATATTGTAATAAATCTTACATCATTTTATGCTGTAATCGTCTCTTATAATATTCATATTTTTTTTGTTAATATTTATCAGTGCTAGGATAAAGCACAAATTATATATACATGCTTACAAATATATCACAAATTGAGTCCATGATATAATAATTTTGACAAACGTTAAATACATACCAATATCTGTTATAGGCGCTTTAGAGTTATAGCCTTTTAGATGTCCAGAATCCGAATCGTCTAATAATTCAGGTTTCTCGGGCAAACCAGCCACAACAAAGTAATCCGCAACTCGCCGTTCATCCATTATAGCGCTTTACTTTTGAGTTATCTAAAAATTTTATTTAGAATAAACAAAAACAAACATTTATAACTCTGTAACTAGTAAAAACATCAAAGTATTTGTCTTAAGACATTGAAAAAAAACTAACCTGTTTTACTATTAAAAACCATTATAATAAGACATTAACTTGAACTGCTGAACGACTGAATTACTATTTAAAATAATCGTTTTCAATTTTCAACTTAAACATTTCTGCAAATTAGGAAATATAAAACATGAATTAAAATATGAATTGAAATTGAAAGATGAAAACTCGCAATTACTATTGCACAGATAAAATATCGTTTACCATTATTATAGGACAACACTTCTAAAGAGTGTTTTCAAACATTTTGTTAGCCAAAAAAGCTGATAAACGTGAATAGTGATAATAAAACAATGTTATTTTAAAAATATCTTTAGAAAATTCTGCAAGAAATAATATAAAATTAAGTAATCCCAGGAAATTATGTTTCTAAAATTCATTGTCTTTATAATTAACATTTTTCTTTGAGTTTCTGTGACCGTGCAGCCGACTGACCTGACATTGACAGACTGACAACCATCAGCTGTCTGATACTGAAATGTCAAAATGACATCATAAAATTGAAAATGATTACAAATTTTGTTTTCTTTTTCGTTTAATTTGTTTCTTATTCTAAACTAATCTGTGATAAAATATTAAAATGTTTACAGTTTAAAATAAAAAGTATAAAATTAATAAATTTTTAGGTTAGAGAAATATTTTATATGATGTGTTTACGTAATTGCATCGAATTTATTAAAATGAGAAGTATATTTATGAATGATGACTATAGATATATCTATTATCATTCCTATCCATAATGGAGAAAAATGGATAAATAACTGCATGAAGTCAATCGCTAATCAAACTATATTTCGGACGTTGACAAAGGTAGAAATTGTTGTCTTTAATGATGGAAGCAATGATAATACGGATGAATTTCTCCAAAGATGGGGTCAATACTTCAAGGGACGTGAAATAAATTTTCTTATAACAGGGTCTGAACACCCTAAAGGCGTAGGCGCAGCTAAAAATGGTGCTGTTAGGTTAAGTTCTGGCTTATATTTATGTTTTCAAGATATTGATGACTCAATGCATCCTGACAGAATACTTTTACAGTGGAATTATGCCAGGTTTAACAATAATACTCTAATAGGTAGTAAGGTGACTAGAACACCAATAAACTCAACACCAAGGTTTGTTCGTTGGGCTAATACTTTAGAGCCTTTTCAATTAAAGCAGCAAATATATTTGTCATATGGCCCTACAATTCTAATGCCAACATGGTTTTGTCATAGATCTGTATATAATAATGTTGGAGGTTTTGTTGAGACAGGCCAAGGAACACCAGAGGATCTTATATTTTTTTATACTCATATTGACAGAGGTGGAGAATTACACAGAGTAGACAAAGAGTTGGTTAACTATACTTATCATAAATGTTCAACAACATTTTCAATATCAAGAAAAGCAATACAACTAATACAATTACATAGACTTGAGAACATAGTCTTATCACAATGGAAACAGTTCACAGTTTGGAATGCAGGCAAAAGTGGAAGAAAATTTGTAAGATCATTGTCTCCAAACATACAAAAAAAAGTTATTGGTTTTTGTGATGTGGATAAAAAGAAAATAGGTTCCGTGATAGAATTGTATTGTCCAAAACAAAGGAAAGTAATTATTAAACTGCCAGTTGTACATTTTACTGAAGCAAAACTTCCAATTATTATTTGTATGAAATTAGATCTGACTAATGGTGAATTTGAAAGGAATCTTCAATCACTGAATCTTATTGAAGGCAAAGATTATTATTTATTTGGTTAAATATTATTGTATTTTAATGTAATAAAAAGAATATTTACAGTTAAACTTGTTTGGTTTCAAATTATGCCTAGATTCACCACACCTTTAACCCTTATTCACACGGGCGCTTTTTTATCGTGCGTTAAAAAAGCGTACAAACAAATGCATTTCCAAGTATATATGACAGAGCTTTTAAAACGCGATGCTTATTATCGCAGTATTGCATTTTGAGCGTTGGGTGATCGGAACAAGAGTGATTTTAAAGTGTTCGTCGCTCAAGAGTCGCTAGCACCGAATATTAACGCGGCGTTAAAAAAGCGCCCGTGCAAATGAGGGGTAAATCTATCCTAAGTAGATAGGTTTTGTCTTATTTACTTGAGATTTAATAATATATCTGATCAGCTACAATAAGCTTAGGACATTGTAGATTTTCTGTATGACAGATTTTACATATAAGTCTGCTTTACTGATCCACAATAGTAAATGTACTATACCTTATGTACCAAATTTGTATATAGGAAACACTAAGGATTAACGTCTTCTTTTCAATACTCTGTCTTTATGTTTGTGGTAAATAAAAGCCGTACATCTGTGTTGCAGTTTAACCTTTTAATTGCTCCTGACTTATTACATGCAATAAAACACTTTATATGTGTCCGTAGCGCCTGCGTATTTATCTCACAAAACAAATTTTAATATTTTGCTGCATAAAAAGACAAAGTATGATTATTATCAGTGTTTATTACAGTATATTATTATAAACAAAGACCTATTAAGAGCATACGAAATCGACGTATATGTATGCGTAGATGTATGACTATGGAAAAGCGAGAGAGGTGTGTCAGGACAGCATTCGTACCCGCGCGGACGGAGTCGCGGGCAAAGCTAGTGGAGTAAATTAAAGTATCACGGAAAATATAAGTATATTTTTCTTATCTCATTTTAAACAAATAAACGCGCTAGTGTCTTAAAATGTAAGAGACACATATCTTTATTTGTCTCAGAAAAATATATCATCGGTTTTAGGTAAAGTTCAGGAATACAAATGAGACGGGGACTGTAATTTTACCGCCTGACTCGACGTTACGAACGGTTTTCAAAGTTGGAACGAAAGGAATTTTTCATTTTGGTACTGAAGTTGCTCCCTACTAGCTAATATAGACTCCGTGCATTACGAAATGAACAACGTTATTTGTCTTTGTACTCTATATGTTGCAGAAATTCGCCAATGTTACATATCGTTATTAAAAAACAGATTTTATTAATGTTTTTGTACATTGGAAACTCAATATTATGTCTGTTAGTGTTTTCGCAACACGTATCAATGCAGCGTCCGACATAGTATTTAATTTGGATTATTGCTTGGGTCAACTCACGATTTTGTTTTTATAAAACTTCAATTGTTATATACAGCCAATGTTTCTGAAACCGGTATTTCCCTTGTAAGTAATAATAATACCTTTTATCATACTAATATTATAAATGCGAATGTTTGGATGGATGGATAGATGATTGCTTGAAGGTATCTTCTGAACGTCTCTTTGGATCACACTGAAATTTGACGTAGATGTAGAACATAGTCTTGAACACGTAGGCTATTAATTATTTTTTTTAATACCGCACGGACGGAGTCGTGATCGTCAGCTAGTTGTTTATAAGGAAATTTACCTTAACATAACATTGTAAATGAAATCAAACCTATTTGGTATTTGATTCAAATCATATGTTAGACTATATGTTAGAACCCTGTCGCAGTATATTATGTTGTAATTGATAAGGTTAGCACGAGGCGACCTAAAGATAAATTACTATGATAAAGTTTCAAACTCGGCGCACACAGTACCGTAAAGTACAAAGATGATAAAGGGTCAAAAGATGGCTTACATACTAAATTACAACATAATTAATATCACAAATGAAATTCAATTTCCTTACAAAACAAAGACTACGTTCATAACAAAGGACTAATTACAAATTAATTGGATGAATGCTTCACGAGATAATTAATTAGCATACCTTCAAAGCTCCAAATATTTACAAAGTAATTGAGACGGCATATAAATGCTATATTAACGTAATATGTTTTATAAGTATACACAAATTACATTCTGCAAGCGTGGGAATATAAAACCGATGGCACAGACAAACTTAAATACGTAATTATTAATGTTTTTGTACTAAAGAATTATAATTATTCAAAAATTTACAGTATAATGTGCTAAAATGCACCCGAATATATTCTTGGTGGTCTTTACTATACCTATTACAAGAGGCTAAGGAGCAAAGCGACCGATATCTTTAGACATACGAAATTGCAGATCCGTTGCCTAGATTAAATCCATGGAGTAGGGGAAATACAGAAAAATAATATTACCCTTCCTAAGCCTTTTACGTTAAATACTATTTCCCTTCCCAACCTTTTCTTATAAGTAAAGTGTAGGACGGGTCAATGTTGGCATGGTATTGCATCGGATGAACGGCAAATTCGGACAACAGATGTTCTCCTGGTTACCACAGGCATGACCACGGTCTTCTTAATAATTGAGCAAACGGGTTTGAACAAAGTTACTTCTATGATATTGATATTCTTTGACAAGTATTTTACTAATAGCTGTCGCCCATGACTTCGTCCAGGCGGAATTTTAAAAAAAACTTAATAAGTAAGTTATGTGTTCTTCCAAACTATGTTCTACTCGTACATCTATGCCAATTTTCAGCCAGATCCGTTTAGCCGTTCCGGAGATACTTTCAAATAAACATTTATCCATCCATCCATCTAAACATTCGCATTTATAATACAAGTAAGATTAAGAATCGTATTTATAGACCTTATTTAGGTTGTGACCACTAAGCAATAGCGCTATTACCGTTTGGCAAATATTCATGAAGGTCCCAATTTCTGAATGTTTATTGAATTGACAAAGATTAAATCAATCAATTTGATTTAAAAGATCAAACGTTAGCCTGGAAAATACATTAAATTATTCCATCAAATAATTGGACACGGTTTCGTTCACAGAACGAAAACATCAAAAAGGAAATTAATTCATTTAGGATCAAAAACAATTTCAAGGACACCAGTTATTTACAATTTATACTTTGTGGATAGACCAACACTTCAAGAGATCACGGAACATAATTTCGCGACACACTCTTCATACAGGACGACGATAAAATAACTATATACTGCTAGCTGATCGGAATTAAAAATAAGCTTAATTAGCCTATGTGTTTTTTCAGACTATGTTCTGCCAAATTTTAGCGAGATCCGTTATGCCGTTCCTGAGATACCTTTAAACAAACATCCATCCATCTAAACATTCGCATTTTTAATATTAGTAAGATTAGTAAGATTACTCGTTCCTATTGTTGCGATAAAAAAATCCAACGAAACAAAATACCGGCTCCAGTATTTGTCGTGAATTATGGATTAGAATATAGGTTTACAGACTTGGCTACTTAATGACCTAAGGACCTAGTATCTTTGGAACCTTGCCTAAAGGGACTCCTTTTAATAATATATTTTAGTTAATTATTCGTTTTTAATATTTTATTTAATATCATGACCTAAGGTGTTACCTTCAAGTATCATATTGTCCAATAAACTTGCAGTACAGTAGGTTCTTAGTGCCTAGAAAATAATAAGTACCTATAACGTAAATGGGACGACTGCATTCAAGTTTCACAGCGTTACAAAAAAAATGCGGCGTCTATTTCTGTTATTTCGCCTTGCGCTTCCATTTTACATCAAGGTATCTAGTACATTTTCTATTGAAATATATCTTACTTGTTAAAAATCGATAGTTATTTCATAATAGTTGAGCTATGTGCATTGTTATAAAATATAATTTTCGGCATATGTGTAATTAATCTTATTATAATAATATTATAAATGCGAATGTTTAAATGGATGGATGAATGTTTGAAAATATTTCCAGAACACCTCAACGGATCTTTATGAAATTTGGCACAGATGTAAAACATAGTCTGCAAGAACACATAGGCTACTATTAAGTTTTTTTTTAAATTCTGCGTGGACGGAGTCGCGGGCGACAACTAGTGTTTTATATAGGCTATGTAATGAAGTACTGAGATGTGTTTCCTAACTTTTTCCCTACTTAACGTGAAATCACCAAGCGAGGTTAACATTAACTTAGCTGGTAAAGCGATTAGTTTCGCTAAATGCTAAAATTATGAAACACACTTCAGTAACAGCAATTCAAGTCTGTGTCCTTGTTATTTTACATTACAATATTTGCTATAAATATACCTTAATTCCAAGATCTATTAAATTTGAATTCGCAAACTTGATTAAAAAAAATTAGCGTTTTTTCACTCTCATAAACTGTTCAGCTTAGTATTTTTTATGTTTTTAATCATCAGGTGAACGCCCTGTGAGTCTCGGTAAGAACTTAAGTAAAATAAAATAAATAAATTTTAGTTTCTTTGACATGCATGACCTTGACGCAAAGTTTACATATGCACTAGGACCTCGAGCAAACGGCCAGTTGTCTTTTTCTTAGCGTATAGTGTTCTCGTAGTCTGCACGTCGGCGTTTTCGTCATACATTGCTAAATCATTTGTATTTCATAATAACGGTGAGTGATAATGTTTTTCAAGTTGCACTTTTATTACTTTTAAAAATGTGATTATAGTCTACGTTACAACGTAACAAATTTTCGACCCTATAGACTTGCTAAGCAAAATAAAAATGTGTCAATTTAAAATCGAACCAATGAACGAACAAGGTATATTGTTTTCGTTTATTAATACCTGCTTAAAAATAATACATTTTAGGATTTATAAAAAAAGCGAGAGATAGGAATAGTCTTATTAAAAAGTACTCGCTGACGCCAGGAACTCGCTTGCGCGGAATTAAAATTAGACTCTATTAGTAGCCAGTTTGACTTCTTCCAGGCTGTGTTCAACTTTTATACCAAATTTCAAAGAGATCCATGCTGCTGTTCGGGAGATACCATCAAATAAACATCCATATCCATACATACAAATATTCGCATTTATAACATTAGTACGCTTTTTTTTTAAATACATTTTCACAAAATACAAAATATGCACGCATACTTTCATACAAACATCATCATTGTTTTTAAGCTCTGTCTGCCCTCTGCTTGACATAAATCTTCCACAATGTGATCCTCCGCCTTCGTACACTAAATGTTTATCAGTCTTCATTTGCCATTTTACATCTTACTATTATAATATTATAAATGCGAATGTTTGGATGGAAGGATGGATGGGTCGATGGATGTTTGGTTGAACGGCTGCATGGATCTCGCTGAAATTTGGCTTAGATGTAGAACATAGTCTGAAAGAACACATAGTAATAATTAAGTTCTTTTAATATCGCGCGGGCAACAGCTAGTCGGATATAAATCATGAGTATGCTATAAACTCGACTTCGATAAATATGTAATTAATATTCTGTCATATTATTATCATGCAATCATAACGTTTAATATTAAAAATTATGCAATAAAAATGTTTAAAATAGAAACTTTATAACTGGAACAAAAAAAAAAGATTAGCTGACGCAAACTTATCCAAATTAACTTTATCGAATTAATAACGCTAAATGAATTTTTTTATAGCATTCATATATCCAATCCAGTTCGTGATGTGTTATATTTCCAAGTTTAATAATAATTTTATAGCAATAAATCTTATTTAGTGTCTAGATCTAATTTTTTTTAGCTATATTAATGTTACTAATATTATAAATGCGAATGTTTGGATAGATAGGAGGATGGATGAATATTTGTTTGAATGTATCTCGAGAACGGCTGTATGTGTCTCGCTAAATTTGGCATAATAATATTGCATACTCTGGAAGAACACATAGTTTTTATGTTTGTAAAATTTGACTAGTTTGGTGTCATTCGGTTCGTAGGTGCATAGTGATTTTTTTTTTATTTGAATCTTTGTAAGTTGATTATTTGCACATAAAATATAGTAATCTGTTTGATTTATGTTATCAGATGCCTCAAGACTTTCAACAAGAAATCATATCCATAAGAGAGTGGCTTGCGAAAGAACCTCACCTACCAAATGACTTTGGTAAGGTCATATTTTTAATAATACTATTGGCTTTTTGAATAATACTATTCGGACCGCGAATCTCCACTACCGAAATATCTGCACATTAAATTTTATTAACCAGCACATTATTTTTGAAAGAAACAGAAATATCGTGGTTTATCTGCAGATTTTTTGGCAGTAAAAAACATTATGCATAATTTAAGTTATATTTAACTTTGCTACATTATTTAATCCTAACGTAAAAATTAGATTATCAATTAGAAAAGAGAAAACGAACATTAATAGCTTATTATGTAGTGAAAAAAAGTATAATTTTGGTGAAATGTGTCTTTCTTTAGTGTTCATGTCACAGCAATTCTTCGGGCTATTAAACTCTGGAAATTAGTTACTTTGACTATTTGACTTGAGCCTCCAAAAAAAAAAATTAAATGCTTGATGCAAAGTTGTGCAGTACAAACATATAAGCAAATTTATAAATAGATTTAAGATATTATTAAAGCAAACATCTTCGGAGCGCGCTTTGAGAGGTTATATTTAAGTTGTAAACAGGTTACCAAAATTCGATTTATCCAAATGCCCATTGCGCTTCAATTTGGACGTAGAATGACTTCCTTATATTATAGTAACGACCTGAAACAAATAAGACTAGACACCAGCTAAGATTGACTGCTTTAAGCTATCCATAGGAGGCGGCTCTTAGTATCTAACAATAAAAAGATATGCATCTTTTGTTTAATTATTTTAATTTTTTTATGCCATAAAGGTGACAAACGAAATCGCTGAAATAGCGAAGTAACCTTTGCCCATAGACATACGCAATCGGATATGCGTTTGCCCACCTTTAATCGACGGAAGAGAGGATGCACAAAAAATAAAATATTATCCCTTTCCATGCATCCTCCCATCCGGGAAATCCACTTCCCATCATTTCCTAATAAGAAAAAGGGTGGGAAGGGAAAGAGGATTGAATTAGGCATCCGGGACGCACACTCATCAGACGAAACGCGGAATTGCTTCCACTTCAAGTCTGTCTCCTTAATGGTCGTGGAATTTTATCGTGCGAGCCGGGCCAATTCGTGAGAAGATGTTAAAGCGGCATCTACCACTGATAATAAGTTCTCCTTTTAGATGATTTCATGCTGGAAAAGTTTTTGCACAGCTGCTATGGTAGTTTGGAGAAGACAAAGAAATGCATAGAAAGGTTTTGTACGACGCGCAGTCACATGTCAGAGATCTACACATCGAGGGATCCGATATCATCGAGCATGGAGACCGCTTTCTCTATTACGTAAGCATTTGGTTGACATTTGTAACATTGAAGTTGGTTGGTTTTAAAGATTTTCATTAGCGAGATCCTGATAGATTACATATCAAATTGTAAGATACATTAACATAGATGCAATTCGGTACAAATTTTAACCGAAAGCGACTCAGAAACAATGAGTTAAGCAGTCTTAACACTCTCAAGTCTAATAAAAAAAGTATTAACTCTATTCTCACCTGTATATTTATTCTTCAAAACATATTTTTTTTACAGTAACGTTACCACTCATGAGGCTGGTGAAAATGAAATATTAATTCATCAATTGGAAGATCCGACTCTGGAAAGATTTAATTTTTACGATATCTTGAAGACATTCGCTTTACAAGCAGATATGTGGTTAATGGAACAAAAGTTCTTGCCCGAAGGACATATTATTGTCTTGGATATGAACAATTATTCCTTGAGAATGATTCCTAGATTAAATATTTTCTTCCTAAGAGAATTCTTCATGTATTTATTGGTAAGATTTTAAGTCTGCTATTCAATTTACTCATAAATAAAATGCTTTTGTCAAATTATTCGGGATGCTTACAAAGGTAAAGAAATACCAAAGATAGTTTGGATTTGCTACATAATTCACGGTCGAACAACCGCTGCATTTCTCACCAATTATGAGCAAAATATAATAAATTTGTTTATTATTTTAATTTATAATTATTGTTTCAAACTTTAAAGTAAATTGGCGCTATATTTAGTTTATTTATTTACTGTATTTCAGGAAGGAATGCCAGTACGTGTAAAACAAATCTATGCAATCAATGCGCCGTCATTTTACGACAAACTTTTCGCCTTAGTTAAACCGGTGCTACCATCTGAAATTTGCAATATCGTAAGTACAATAGTTTATTATGTTGGGAGTACTGATGGTCCACCAAAATAGTCCCGGGAACACGGTGACATAGCTTAACACTATGAAGCAACGGGTAGAGCCCTGTGTAATGAAGTGCTTCCAGTGCGGCCGTCGCTTTTTAGTAGATCAAATTCCACATAACCCTCACTTCCCCCAGAAGGCGGGATATATTTTAGAAGATTCTCCGCCCCCCCCCCGATACAAAAAAAAAATTACAATAGCTTAAAATAACTTTGTCGGGAATCTGATGCATTCGAGCATATTATAGGATACTTACTTTTTCTGCGCTGACGATGTCGCGGGCGACTGCTAGTCACATAGTACGTTTTGTATTTTTTTATCTCCTAGTTGGCAAATTTAAATTTAATAAAATATCTTATTATTTTATATTATCACCAAATGGCTGGTTATTGCATAATAAGTAAAATAAAAACATAATTATAATGAAATGCTCCGATGCATTCTTCAAGGACTATTTAAGGTTAGTCATTTAGTTTTGATTTCCAGATTCGTTTCTTGCCCGATTTTCAAAGCTTGCATCAACATATAGACAAAAAATATCTGCCATCTGAGTACGGAGGCGAAGCGGAAAGTATGAAAGCACAACACAAAAACTGGATTGTTCAAATTCAACAGACCAGGTACATTTTATTGTCAGGATTGTTTCTTTTTAATTAAACATTTTTGCATAAACTTTAAAGGGCACAACTCACATATTTATAATTAATCGTCCTTTAATTTTCTATAAGGGTCAATTGTGAGTTTAAATCTTTTCGGAACAGTTTGTGCCCAGATTTTTTTTACTTTTCATTCTTCACACTTTACGACGAATAGTGGACTTTAATTTGAGAGTATTTTACTTATAACTTTATAACCTACATACTCTTTTCTGTTACAGATCAAGATTTTTAAACGATAACTTATGGAAAGCAGACCTGAAAAAGAAATCAAAAAACAACTCTTTTGAAAATGCAATGAGTGGTTCTTTCAAAACATTATGCATAGACTAGTTTAACATAGTATGGTTTTATTTTACAACAGAATAAGTTTTTACATTGTGAAGGTAATTAAGTAAACATAACATATCAAATATGTTATTCCTTAACCCTTATTGTGGCTAGATTCTTTTTTGAATAAGAGCTAAAAAAAAACGTCTAGAAATGACACGTGTTTAATAAAACTAAGTTAAAAATTATTTTATAGTGATCGTATATTTTTATAAAGTTGTATATATGGTATACTATACAATATGAACATAAGATTTTGATACCATTTCATAATAAAACATACCTAATACTTTGTAAGCCAAGTTTCAATGTCGGAAATACTTAAACCACTTTAAAGATTAGCAGATATTTTATCTAAAGTCAATTAATACAATTAAAACTTACACCATAACATAAGAGATACTGCAAGGAATCAATACTTCTACATATCTTTAAAATGAAATACTGACGACTAACCGTTGGTTTCCGAGACCAAAATCGCTGTATGAAACATATCACCTCTGATATATAATATAAACACGGCTAAACACTCACGTATCCTCATTATATGAGTGTTTAGCCGTCTCACGAAAGTTTGAATAATTTAATGTCACCTCTGTCATAATGTTTGACAAAAAAAGATAAAATTATTTTTGCAAAGGGTATTTTGGTCTCAGAAATTATTATATGTTAGAAATAGTATGTCTTCATAGAATAAATAGGACCTTAAATGGAAATGAGCGCTCGAAACTTATATTTGTTATTGGTTATGAATTCTTATTCTCTCTGGCCTTAACCTACTTACTCTATGTGAGGTCGGCATATTGTTTTTGTCCTCCAGATCGATCTACTTCAACCTTCATTTATTTTGAAACCTTTAATATTTGAGGAAAAATACTTTCAAATACTCATAAAAACTTATGAACTACAAGCATAGATAAACTCACAGAAAAAAAATATTCGTGTAATCTAGTACTATAGTACGGTAACTGTACCCACCAGACTATACGACAATTTTTTCATAATTTACCTATACATTTGAGAAATTATTTAAAAATAATTCAATACCCAATAAGATTTGCGAGTTCTTACCAATAATTCTTTACTTACTTGTTAACTGATGATTATAACAAGCCTTTGATTCTGCTAAGCCTTATGTAAATTCTATGGAACGATTTAAAAATTGCACACTACTGCGATTTCTTGAAAATACGAAGTGATACAAGGTTTATTGGATAATAAGCGCATATATAACAAATTCGCAGTTATTTTATTATAACTCTTATATTGAGTGTCTGCAAAATCGCAGTACTTTGTTACAATCGTAAAGTTTGCGTTAAACCAGCGATTCTCAAACTTTTTGATAACGAAACATGGTAGCGGATTATTTGACGGAACCCAACACCGTAAGTTTAATTATTGTTGTATCTAAAATTTATAATTTTTTTTCGTCCTTACTGGTGTACAGAGCCCCAGGGCTTCCGTAAACACACTTTGAAAAATGCTGCATTAGACCTTAACGGCATAATAACGGTGTCAAAAAAATCATCAACTTAACCTCAAAACTCTACAGCACTGACAAAAACATATGCAACATCATTCGCAAACCAGAGTTAATAAGAGAAAAGTCAAGTAATTACGACACATTATTATTAAAGACCGACAAAGATACCTGGCCCAGTGGGGATAAGTCAAATTAAATTATGATAGCTCACTAGCGCCCCCCTGTCAATGTCAAAAAAAGTTTCACAAGGTCCTTTTCGTACTTCGTACTGTAGCTGTCATGTCTTGTTTTTTTTTTATAAGAGATGGGGGCAAACGTCAACGGGAACGCTAAGGTTCGTCGACGACATATGTAATACCAGAGGAACCGCCGATGCATTGCCCGCCTTTAAAATAGTGATAAACTCGATTTTTGAAGGACCCTTGATTTTTTCTTTTATGCCATTTTCTGTATATAAGTTTCAAATATTTTCTGACAGAACTAAGTACTCAGATATCCTTGTTTGACTATACATTGAGGTAATACTTGCAGTAATATATTTCAATGTATAAAATTGTAGTTCTTAATCTAAAGCCAATGAACGGAAGGAGCCCGGCAAATCTCTAACTTGGTCTGCCCTATCGTCTTTACAGTTGGTCGGTCTCATTGCTTCATCCACACTCCAATTCTGATCGTTTGCTAGGAACCAATCTCTGAAATAATTTAGACAAATTTAGCCAAATTTAGATTTCATTTAGTGATTTATATAAACGCTGTAGTTATCACAAAGAAATAGATATATTACGGAGAGAAAATATATTTTAAAATCGAATTCTTATATTTAAAAACAAATGAATGAGATATTAAACAAATCTAAAATTATTACGAACGTATTTTAATATCATTTTTTACTAAATATTTTATCGTGGTTACCATACTTTCGACATACTTAGCATAAGCGTAAGCAAAAATATAGTCATTAGTGTCTACTTCAAGAAATGATAGAACATTATGTGCAATGTTCCACTTTTATTACTTTCGAAAATGCGACTGGTTGAATGACCTCTATTATAGAGAATAATTAACGTGTTTGAGTGGAAAAAGAAAGTTAAGTTACTAGTAAGTTATATTTAAGTTGTAACTTTAATTCAATATCGAATCATTGACCTTAAACAATAAAATTATTATCGATATTTTACGACAGTTAAACATAGAATAACTGAAAATTGGATTCATTAATATTTATAACGTGCTAGCTGTCGCCCGCGACTTTTAATAAGTATACTATGTGTTCAGACTATGATCTAGATGTGTGCCCAATTTCATCAAAATCTGTTAAGCCGTTTCGGAGATACTTTCAAACAAACATCCATCCATCTAAACATTCGCATTTATAATATTAGTATGATTAAAATAGTTTTGGAATTTTCTTTTCTAATAGAAATGCGAAAGTGAAATTATTTATATTAACCGATTAAGCACGGATGTAAAATCATTTTGAGGAGAAACTTCATTTTCTGCACATAGAAGTCGTTATAAACTCTCCTAGAGATAGAAAAATGTAGATTGGTTGTCATGGTGATTACAAGATTACTATAATTCTATCTTATTTAACGTTATATCAAGTTAATATTCAACTTGGAAGATATTAAATTGCGAGCCTTAGGCAAGAGCTTACAAACGCTATTCCTTTTACCTTTTAGCCTCGATTCTCTTTATCCAGTAGCGTTTGATTTGCTGCACGCTGCCCGCTTTGCCGCCATACTCCAATGGTAGCAGCTCTTGTGGGACGTCTTTGTACAGTGTACTAGAGTTTGGCTCGTGGAACTTCACCTGGAAATATTGGTTTAAAATGTAAAATTTTATTAATAATGTTTTCAATCTAGTTTCACAGCATTAAAGAAACAATAATCTTATGTTACTAATGTTATAAATGCGAATGTTTATATGGCTGGTTGGATGTTTGTTTGAAGGTATGTTCGGAACGGCTCAACGGATCTCGTTAAAATTTTCCATAGATGTAGAACATAGTTTGGAAGAACATATACGCTACTGATTTTTTTTTTATTTAAGTTGCAATAATTTTCTTTATATCGGGATTGCGCTAAAATGAGAAATAAGCGCTTATTTAGTTAGTAGTAAAGAGTCAAGAAGTTAGCTATCAACATTAATACTTTCAAAGACTTTATAGTTAATAGCAGGAATTACTAACTTATGAAGGTAAAAGTTGATTGAACTCTCGGTTATTGCATTCACCATAAAATACGCAACACTTACCAACTTGGCGACTTCAGACTTGATGAAAGGTTTACATAAAGCGTATATTTTGCTTATATACGCAGGAGCGTTGATGACATGCACTTGCTTCAGCCTGATTGGAATTGCCTCCTGTTTAAGCATATTAAAAAAATATAACAGTGCGCATTAAATTCATATATTTAAGAGTTTAATTATAGAGTGTCTTATAGAAAAATTTCAATTTAAAATTTCTTGAAAAGCCATTTTTAATGTAAGAACTTCTTTCTGTAGTTGTTCAAATATGTAACAGATGTTAATGTCTTTTGTTCTTTCCCCACTTACCTGTGTATACAGCATATATTTCCTCAACACAGACAGATTGACTTTGCTGATGAATTTGAGACTAACGTTAGCAGAGTCGAAGATCGGTATCTCTCCTGAAGGTATATCATCTTCCTCTGTAAGCCTGGTGTCAGCAAGCATGAAGAATGTCTTCACAGCATCGATGAAGTTAAACAAATCCAATTCTGGATTATTCAGACGATATATAAAGACTTTATAATTCTCCGGTGTCTTATAAGGCAGGGGAAGCATATCACTGTAAATAAATGTAATAATTGAATTAGATTATTAAGGCGACGCAAAAGGGGGCGAGGTTTCGGAGTTCTGACAACGCATCACCTTCCTCCCGCTCTGTTTCTTCTCCATTAGTTCATTAAAACAAGGCAAGCGACTATGCACATCGATACAGCGTTGGTGCTGCGACAACACAACGTAACGCTCTAGTGAATCTTCGTACTTACGAAAGTATATAGTCAAAACACGATGATACAATCAAAAAAGGTATTGTAAATGATTATAAGCATTACATAAATAATGTTTCGTCTTGCACACGATGGGTTTGTAACATAAACATGTTTACGAAATAACATCTCAAGCGGAGATTGTCTTATTTCAACTTTAAGCAAAATAAAAGAAATAAAGAATGCAATACAACGTATTATTATTTAACCTTAACATTTTGTAATATGTCATTAGTGTTGTTGTACGAAATGTTACATGTGTCACGGCAGTGGAAATCTACGTTAATTGGCAGTGTTAAAAGTCGATAAATATGTTACTCATGGACAAAAAAGAGATTATTTATGTAGTAATATTGATAAGTATGTGGTATTGTCAATTTTTTTTTATAAGAGAAGGGGGCAAACGAGCGGCGGGAACACCGAGGTGATCAACGACACCCATGGACGTCTGCAACACCAGAGGAACTGTAGATGCGTTGCCGGCCTTTAAGGAAATGGTATGCTCGCTATGGTATTTATCCTATCAACCAAGAAGAGAGTTTATTTAAAGATAGCTGTAGCCCGCGATTCCGTTCTTGTGGAATTTAAAAAAAAAAACTTAATTAGTAATCTATGGGTTCTTCCAGATTAAATTTTTCTCAACATATTTTTTTCCTTTCATACAACAATATATTACGTCAAAGATGTATCAATTAGATTGACATTTTACAGATAAAAAAAGATGTAAGACATTGTTTTAGCCTTCGTTCTTAAAATATTCATGTATGAGTTTACTTGGTCAATGTGGCATATGGATTTAAAAGGATTTAACTTCTTTATTTGGATGGAGAGGCCATCTTGTAATACGTTTTTATTTTTAAATTCCATTAAATAAATCAATATCATCCTTCTTCAAATCAATTGCACACTTATGCAATGTTATTCAGGTTTTGGAATATTAAAATTAATGGCATCATTTTAATTTTAAAATTTAACCATGACTTCTGTACTCAGAAAAATCGACGCTAAGTGCTTGTGCATATTGAACCCGCAGGCGGGAGCGGTTACGGTGTCATGAGCTTGTTCACATTTGCCGCAGGGCGTTTGCTCGATCAGCTCTCAAACTGGTTAAATTTACTTGACACACTCTTCTTCAACATCATGTTGCATCCGCTACTTTAATATGAACAAACACTAAGCGTGCGTTGAAATACTTATTAAATAACTCTGAGTACAGCAATAAATGTATCTATGAACGAAGTAGCATAGTGTAGCAATGATTGACGTTACGAAATATGGACACGTTGCAGACAGGTCAATGAACTCTACCACTACTAGGTCGAGCACTCATGCAGTAGAAAACTACTTATAATATGAATAGCTGTACAAAATTTATGAACTGACCAGTTAATATAAAAACAATTTACGCCAGGGATATTGAAGAGCAAAAGGTGTTTGTGGTAAAATGTTGTACAGAGAGGTAAAGGGCATAATATAAAATAACACACATAAAAAACATACAGATGAATTGATAACCTCCTTCTTTTTGAAGTCGGCTAAAAAGGGCTTGTAAACATGAGAAATGTGGATTGTGTGAAAGAATGTTGACCAATATTGTGAAAGGCATCATTCCTGTCAATTAAGTCGAAATATATTTTTTACCGGTCGCCCATGACATCGTCAGCGCAGAATTAAAAAAGTAGCTATACTCTATTTTATCCTTTAATTTATTTTGAAATCGCGATATCGTAGTAAAATATGAATATTTAAAGAATGTATAAACTATATTATTAAATTGTCTTTTTTATAATCATGCAACATTTTCACGTTTATGATTCCTGAGTCATTTAGAATGCACGTAACACGCTCCCCAATAACGTTAATTTTATTCACATTTTAAACAGTAGTAGCAACTCTGAATACAGAACAATAAAGTGGTATGTGTAGTGTAGTGCTGTGTATTGCCAGACATCCATAATTGACACACTATACGTTCCATTTTTTAAATCAGTGACAGTCACAATGCGTTCAAAACCTTATCAAATATACAACATGAATGTGATGCTGACTGTTCTAATAGTTTATCTATACTAATAATAATGTATTTTAGTATGTAACGAGTAAACTCAAAAACTACTCAACCTAATTTAATAATTCTTTCCCCATTACAAAGCTTATTAATTATGTTTTTAATTCCGTGAGAAGTCACGGGCAATGCTAGAGTCATGTATAAAACTAAATTAATTGCCCGAGAACTTGATTGACGGAAAAGATATAAATCAATTTTTCAAAGTGCGTATTTTATCATTTCGAGGTCGTTGTATGACCTTGGGGTTTTATTTCGACTTAGTTTAAGATGGATCTAAAACTCCTTTTTAAGCAAGTTTGATCTTAAAGATAACTTTAGTCTATTTTGAAGCCAATTTATTAAACCAACAAATTAGATAAAACCAATGTTAATAAATGATCACAAATTAACTGTTTCATAATAAAAAAAAACTGCTTTTTCCAAATATGATACTTACGTTAGTTAAGTACAAATATTATACTTAGTTTTACATGATATGTAGGTACTGTTATTTTGTTTATGGCTAGTGCACTACTAGGCCCCGAGATACAGGCTCAGCTTGTTCGGGGTCTGCAAGATACTTCACTGTATATTATTCTAACGTGTTTTTGTGAAATGAATTTATTCTTATTCTTATTCTTACGTAATTTCGAAGACCCGTCTTATTTCTGGAGACCAGGGGTCGCGTTTGCAGAACAGCTCCGGCGCTGTGGATCGGATGGTAAAGAAGAAATCAATGGTGCGTTTGGCGCGCTCCAAACTGTAACCGCAGCTGGTAAAGAATCGACGTAGCAATACTTCCTCTGGAAAAAAACAAATAATACTGTAAAACGAAAAAAATATCTGTGCATTTATCTTAAAAGGGAAAAACCAGAAGGGTTCTTTGCGTTACAACGAGTAGAACGGTATTATGCAAACTGTGTCAGGCATTGGAGAATTATTTGCACCTGATTGTTTTACGGTTATGATGTTTATCTCAGAAACTAAGCGTTAATATAAATATATCAATCTAGAAGTTAAATTAGATTCTTTTCTCAGAGATAAATTAAATTTGAATTACTATATGATGGTACATTAAGAATTGGGCGTAGAAAAAATCGTATTACATTTTTAAGGTAACGTTCATACATTTCAATATTATAGCATTACGAATGTAAGTGGAAATTATGAAGTAACTCAATATCGACAACATTTTTGCGGCACCGCAAACTGCAATAGCACTGTTTCAACAGCGTATCGCAACCGATCGTATGTTGCAGGCGCAACAGTATCCTTTCTCCGACATTAATTTAGTTCATTGAATTTTAAATTTGATTTAATCGAGAACGGCATCTGTACTACTATACCACACTCAGTGTCGTTTATTGATCATTAAATGAGACGCTTAATATAAATGTATTTATGAGAAATACTAAGCGTTGATGTCTGAGAACGTAATGTCCGTTTAAAACATATTGTTAACTCTGTTTTGGCAGAGATAATGACAAAGGTGAAGATATGTTTTATACAGAGATTTTGGTCGCAGAAACCGACAATGAGTAAAGCAGTTGTATTTTATATTTTTGTCTACTGTTAGGAAGAAAATCCGACGCTGTGCCGGTGTATCGGTGCAACAATAGCCTTATTACAATGTCAACGTTTATGCCCCCTCACTAATCCGACACTTGATTTGGTAACGAAAGCATGCCATTCTCTCTAAATGATTCTAACTAATAATGTTTAAAACTACTTACCAACTTCGTTCGGCAGATGAGGTTGCTTGCTTAGCCAGTCTTTTATAGCGACTATATCTTTGTTGTGTTCTACTTCTTGGTCAGGCATGATGCTGTAACGAAGGTATAAAATGAACGACAAACAAGCATTTAACAAAATATCTTTAAAAATTTGATCGACTTATGTTACTCTTGTTAAAGTTTATTATAAATTTATACATATATGTGTGTTTATAAAGGTTATAAGGGAGTAACGAAACAAGTACATATACGTAATAATGATTGTCTTATTTTACATACAATGCAAGTTTCCTGTCCGTATGTTTATTTCTCAGTACATTAATTGCGATCTAGTCTTGAGCCTGATCTATTTATGTGCGTCGTGATAATTGTGACAGATATGATTTATTACGGTTAGGGAAAAACTCGAGAATAGGTAACTCTCTGAAGTGGAAGGTTATTGGTTACTTATGTGTACAGTTATGTATATATGTATTAGACGTTCCAAACTTTATAGTGGCTCGTGATTAGCAGCAAACGCGCTAGATAGCTGGGATACTACGTGGATGACAAATAACGGGATCGACATCCCTGCATAGCTTTACTTTCTATCGACACTTAGAATTGTGTCCAGCGCTGGGTTTCGATACGCCATAAAGCTCGAATAGTACTGTACATGTAACTATACGCGTGATTAACTTATCTGATAGTCACGATTAGAACCGGTTGTTTTTTTTGCTTTTGCCTGTCATATTCGAGACATTGTAGGTTTCTCGCTAGAGCAGTTTCTTTAACAACTTATATATAGAGTTTAATCATGTTTTTATGCAAGAATTCAACGTCATATAGAAACAGTTTAGCTTAAATTTGCTTGTTTATATCTTACTTCTTATTAATCTTACTTTTTACTAATATTATAAATGCGAATATTTAAATGTATGGATGTATGGTTTGCTAGAAGGTATCTGCGGAACGGCTGAACGGGCTACTAATCATGTTTTTTTATTACCGCGCGGACGGAGTCACGGGTGACTTCTAGTTCAATCTATTTGACAGTCTCCAACGAATGCAGCCAACGATTAATATCTCTATCCATCCGATGCATAAACATTCAATTTAATTACAAACAATGTATAAATTGCCATCCATTCACTTAGCAAGCATCCTATTGTTTGCTTTTCATGTTTTGTCAACAATGCAACTGTGTTTGCTCGCAAATAAGACAACGGATATTATATTTGCATTGAACATTACAATCATAATAAAATGTGTAAATAAAAATTAAAATATTTCACGCCTTTTCGTCTCACTAAATTGATGGTTCCTGTCATAACTGTGAAAGGTATGAGTTGTCTAATCCCGAATAAAAAGTAACTTATGGTCTTTAAATTTAAACCAAACCCAAGTGTAGTATATGCCTAAATATTGTGTTGTTTGTCTCGACCGTACACGTCATAAGTACATGGCGGAAAGAGGAGGCGTCAGTCGATGTCAGACCTTTTGACCAGCAGCACGTGTCGGTTCGTGAACGAGCCAAATATCTCACCTCAAATACACTCAAATATAACTCAAAATAACTACACGAATGCTACACCAAGTTTAACTTGTTTGTTATGTAATTACTAAGCTAACATGTACAAGTATCAGGTTTATTATACTTAATCGTAATTTATGTTAGTAGGTAAAACGTGCAGTAGAACACGTGATTAAAACTAGTTATAAAATATAGCTGACTAGATTATTATTTTAAGAGATACCGGATACTTAAAATATTACAAGACTAGCTGTCGCCTGTGATTTCGTCCACGCGGAATTTAAAACAAACTTAATATGATGCCTATCTATTCTTCCAGACTATGTTTTATATCTATGGAAAATTTCAGCAAGATCCATGCAGCCGTTCCAGAGATACCTTCAAACAAACATCTATCCATCTAAACATTCGCATTTATAATAATAACAAGAAGTAAGATTATTGATTAAAATTTAAATTTTATTTGCTTTAGCATATTAATTATGCTATCAACATCCTGGTATCGTCATTAACGTAATGTCAAAAAACATACAGATGTATATTTTGTTAAGATAGCAAAAAACTTCAACACTTTTGAACTGTTGTTAATCTTTAGAATTTTTTTTTGTTCATATTCATTAAACGTAAATACGTACTGTTTGAATAGATACATTCTCAATAACAAAAAAAAACATTGATTATTCGACTAAGGTGAGAAACAAAATAATAATAACGAATCTCATATTTGTTTTGAACATTTATGTGTTTTAAAAATGTATACCGCATTAAACTATTCATCTGTATAGGCAAAAAGGTTTTAATAAAATGAAAAGTAGGTTTGAAATCACCACCAAAATATTAAATCTTTAAAACGGTAGTTATTTGTGAGACGGTCCAGAATGTAAGTTTCTACTAATAGTCGAAATTACTGTAAGTATAAGCCACAAATTTCTCAGAGAGATTTTATTTAGTTTACAAATGTTTTGTCAGTGGAAACCAGCATTAACTTTATATCTTGTTATGCAGGAAGGTCAATATTACGCAAACAGTCGCCTGCGTACGTGCCATCGCAGCGACATCTCTGAATACAAATTGCATTTAATTGTATCTGAAAACCTTAAAAGAAACAATGTTACTAACGAATTGTTTTCGGAATATTATTTATTCGGAAAATTTAAATATATATTTCAATATATGTCTGCCTTCGTCATATTTAAATTGGAGTTATGACGTAATATCTTAAAGATTTTTGAAGGCTTTTTAAATAAGGCCCTTCATACACAACGCGATGTAAACGAAACCTGCTTCTTTTAGTTGCTTAGCAACTAACCTTTGGCAATGTTATACACATTTTTGTCATCGGCAAAGGTAAGGTTCGCAACCTGTTTGTCAACATCGTTTGGCTGACATTTTGGAAATACGCGTATGTAAGTCATGTCACCATTTCTGTACTGACCGAATAGACAACTTACGTCGACGATTCATCGTTGTGTTCCAAACGCGCACAAGGATATTAGTTTCAAACATTTGGGTTGCCTAAATAAAATGCAATGTTAGTAGCGACGAAATTACGATATTCACATAATTAAACCAATTTATAATACATTTACTGAGTATGGTACCAAAGTACTAAAGCATTATGAACTCAAAAAAATGTTCTTGTCATAAAGAGATAAAAACTTATAATAAAACTAAATGATCCAATGTACGTCATAGAAATCTCGACTGGTTTTAAGGCTTGTAATCTTCTTGTTTTATCTGACTTGTTGATTGCGCAATATCAAATTATTAAGCAAGCTTTGTTTCGCAAAAAACTCTTTTATAAAAAAATAACTATCGCATGCGACTCCGGTTGCGCGGGATTACAAAAAAAACTTAATTAGCCTATGTGTTCTTTTTGGCTATGTTCTACATCTATGGCAAATTTCAGCGAGATCCATGCAGCCGTTCTAAATACCTTTAAACAAACATCCATCCATCTATCCATCTAAATATTCGCATTTATAATATTTGTAAGATTAAATAAATGACGTAAGTTTTAAGTCGTTTTGAAATAATAATAAAATAATAAAAATTACTTGATGAGAAAACTTGTTCCTTAAATTAAAAAAAATCTTTTTTCATTCTTGGATGCGACGCAGTGATAAAAATAAGTCATTGTTAGTTATAATAAAAATAAGTTCATCGACCAAAGGTTCTTCAACGTTATTTTAAAGTCATGTCAAGACAAACAAGGATAAATAAGGCTTAGGACTTGAAAAGGTTTCTTGTGATATGTCTAATTTATTGTTTTTAATGATATACTGATTGCATTTTACTTGTATAAATAAATGAACAATTTAGAATAATAAACGAAGCAAACTGAATAGAAATAGTAAGTAAACGCAACTCTTTTCATCGAGCTTGTTAGTTCATTGTTAACTTTATGTACGTTTTGTGAAAACTAAACAAATGTAGCGTAAACTTTGCAAGGTCACTTACATTGTTATTTCTATCTTGCTAATATTATAAATGCGAATGTTTTGATGGGTGGATGTTTGTTAGAAGGTATCTCCATAACGGCTGCATGCAGCCTTCATATAATTCACCACATTTCGGCCAAATTTCAGCGAGATCCATAGTTTTACATCTATCCAAGATGTAGAACATAGTCTGAAAGAATACATAGGCTACTAAGTATTTTTTTAACTCCGCCCGGTCGTAGTCGTGGGCGAAAGCTAGTAAATAATAAAATAGAAGCATTTATGCTTCCTATACTTTTGTTATTAAGTTACAAAATGTCGGGAAGGTATAGATGATTAGGATTGGGATACGCATGTCTTTTGTTTGGTTATGATATTCCACCGGATAAACATACTTGGCCTTTTCTCTACTTTAATTTGCAGTTGGTTCTAATCCAAGTTATAATTCAACATTTTACAGCGGTTGATGAAACGCTAGTTAGGTTATTGATTGACAATATTTATTATTTTACGGTGACATATACGTAGTTAAATAGTTAAGTTGGAGGAAAAAAGTATGGATGTATTGTGTGAAAGCGGATATGCGTTAGAAATGGGTGGATTGAGATATGACGGCTGATAGAGATGTATGTTGTTGTACATACTGTGCCGACCCTCTGTAGGGATAAGGGCACGTCGATGACGATATACATAGTTATTAATAGAGGTCGGATATTAACATTCATGAGCTGCAGCAGTAGTGCGTCAAGCAACCTTCCTGCGCTGCATGCGTGCATGTAATAAAGGATGTTTCGTTAAAATGCAAGACTCTTGCGCACAGTATGGAGCAAGGACTGAAACGTATTAATTATTTGAACGCAAGATTAATATTTTTTTTTACTTCAACCTCAATTCTTTTAATGTGAAAACTTAACTTGTTCTAAATAAGAAATATATCAATATTTTTGTTAAATTGAATAGTTTGGATATAAATTGTTGTCTATGAATCGAATGAATCGATGAAACGAATCTATATTTTTTATTTTACGAGACAATTTTTTATTTTATCGTTTTTTTTTAGTTTATTTGATACTTAATGATTACATTAGGAATGCTTGAAAGTATATATTGTTTATAAGAATATTAAGACGAAGACTACTGCTTTATGCCGAATCTTTTTTTTATCAAATTTTCTTTGCGTTTACAGGAAAATCTTACATATCTAATTATTTTTAACTAATGAAAAGTATACCTCAAATTATTTCAATTCTACTGGTATTTTATTCTTTAATAAATATTAAAAATATTTTATTATTTTATTTAGAAAATATGCAAATAACTTTTTGGCTACACATAAGAATGTAGTTGCAGCTTAGAAAAACATAGATTAATTACTATTAGATACTTACTACTTAATTATTATTATAAAATTACAAAATAAAAATTCAAACTTACGATTTAAAATTACCACGAGATTAAAATTGCAAGATTGCATACGTCAAATCAGTGACGTAAAAATACTTTTTTTTTAATCAAAAAGCGCGCGCGTTCTTCGATTGACCGCGAGAAACTAGCCAGTGTGATGGCGTTGTACCACATTCACTTATTGAAAAGTCGTCCGCAATCGCATACAACAATTTTTAAATGTGGGACACAAGACATAAACATGGTAAACGTCAAGAAAACAACTGTTTCTGCAACTTTTATTGACTGTTTTTAACTTGAAATACTGATCGAAAACATAGGATTAACTCCTTTTGTTATTAAATAAAAAAAACGGAATTCCATTTTTAAAAAGGCTGTCGTTGATTTTAAATATCGAAAATTAAAACTAATAATGCAAAACTTAAAATATCGTTATTAATTATCTACCTGAATAGCATTGCCCTTGACTTCTTAAAATGTTCTTAACCAAAATCAAAACAATCCAAAACTCAAAATAAATTGATTCTTTAACGAGGTCATAAACCTGATTTTTAAGGAAAGATATACCTTGCATTGTTTAAATGTTACAAAGTTTAAATATTTTTTTTTATTTTGTATTTTTTTTTGCATCAATTATTTATATTTTTATTAATCTATGTAGATAATATAAAAAAATGAATTTACAAAAATTTGAAGGTAAATGAAAATATCAGTTTTAACCAAGATGGAGTTTTATGTTGTGACAGCGGTGTTAATTAGCGAATTTAATATTTGAAGCGAAGTTTTGTTAATTACGTGAAGTGAACAAAGATATAAACCTATAAATGGAGTGTTCCATACAAGTTTGATTTTTAATCGTAGCATCATTTTCAAAAAGTAGTAGTGCGTTACGCAAATGTATGTCCGTGTAACTAAAAATATTTACAAGTTTAAGAATTGTTATTTCCGTTGATTTAAGATAGGCGACGTATCTAAAATCGCGAATGCCTATGGGCAGAGGTTGCTTGGTTATTTCGCGTATTCACGTTGCCAGTTATTTATTTGCCATCTTATGATAAAAAATAGTTTAGGGATGTGTTCAGTGTTCAGTAGTGTATTGTTTTTCCTGTTACAATCAAGATATATTCATCAACTTCAGAATTATATGGTAAGTGTAATATTAATACATACTAAACCTGAGCGTTCACTGAATACTTTGTCTAAATTTATAGACAACTAGCTGTCGCCCGCAACTCCGTCCGCGAGAGTTTAGAAAATAGATAGTAGCCGATTCTCAGAGCTACTCAATATGCTCACAAAATTTCATGAGAATCGGTCAAGCCGTTTCGGAGGAGTATGGGAACGAAAATTGTGACACGAGAATTTTATATACAAGACTAGCTGTCGCCCGCGAGTACGTTCGCGCGTGATTAAAAATAGATGTTGGCCGATTCTTAGACCCACTCAATACGCTCACAAAATTTCATGAGAATCGGTCAAGCCGTTTCGGAGGAGTATGGGAACGAAAATTGTGACACGAGAATGTTATAAATAAGATTTATTTTTTAATCTTTAATACAGTAAAAAACAATTAACAACAATTTTTGTTAGCTAATGGGAAGCGATCTTTAATATTGTTCATATTAACTCCTTTCTTCGTCTTAGTACTGTAATAGTAATTTCCTTTATAAAGTACAGACTAACAAAAGATTTTAATTATGCAGCGTTATGTTAACGAGGAATAAGTGGGCTATATTTTATAAGGATAGTGTAGAACAGAGTTTGTATATGCGACATTGCCTCACTGTACAAACATAATAAAGCTTAAAAGCGATGCATAAATCTCTGTGTAGAAAGTGAGCCGCTTTGGATAGACACGAAAAACTTTAAATTGCATTTTTTGTACCTTTGTATCCACGAGGAGGGAACATGTGCTGAAAAACATAAAATTAGACTACATTTCTGTGTGGAAATATTTGTTCCACAGCTTTATTTCAGTCTAGTAGTCTAGTGTTGATGACACCACTAACAGCTTAAAAATAAGTCTAGTCGTAGTAATAAGGATAGTCGTAAAAATGACAAAATAAATAGATTTATTTTTAGTATTTGTCAAAAAATCTATAATCTAGATTTATGCGGAAAATAAATACAAAATACATTACGAAATTAAATATTATTGAACTAGTAAAAATCTCATAAAATGAACACAATTTTGTTTCAAATCATGTTATTAAAAATACCGATATAATATGTATTAAATATCTGTATATTACCTGTCTGTATATTACCTTTAAGTTGTAAATTATCTTGTTCACGGAACAAGACAAGGATAATATTGTAATTACGCGTTTAACAAAGTGATTAAATTGTACCAAACGGGGCGAGTACCTTCATTACTCTCTCAAGTGTGTCGTCGGCATATTATTAAAGTAATTAGGTTCAACCAAAGAGAATGTATTCGAATGCCATGAAAAATAAAAAAAAACATAGAAAAGAGACATGAAACAACAACATGAGACATCCATTGGCAGCTGTCGATTCGCCATTTCGGTGAATTCATTTGTCCAGTTGCTTGTGTCCTTAAAATAAAAAAACATATCAATCTAGGACATTGCATGGACTGAAAATAAAATCATGTACTAAAACATTTTGTAGACTCTAGCCAGTCTGGTGAGCTAAGCGAGACTGCGACCAACAGTAACTTAATTTAACACTTCCACCGGGAGCGTGTTCTAAACTCTGTTATACTTAAAGCAGCGTAATTATATTAATAAAATACAAAGTACTATAATATTATTTTTAATTTTACAACAGTCATTTAGCACTGTTATTATATTTCTTATTAAAACTTGATTTATCTTAGTGATTCATAATTTTTGGGCGATACTCCGTAAACATCAAATATTTTGAACATTATAATTATGGGATCGATTTTCTTTGTGTTATACAGTACAACCTAATCGTGTGTTTCTAAGACAAAAATACCCGTTTAAGATATGGTTACCCAGAGATTTCCCAGTTCAGAGACAATTATTGACTGTTGGTTTGTGAGACGAAAACCACTATATAAAACATATCGTCGTCCATGTCATCCTTTACGTAATGAGATTTTGGTCTCACAAACCAACGGTAAATTAAGTTTATCAAAAATATCAGTTTGTACATCTTATATATATAAAAATCAATTTCTGTTTGTTAGTCTCGCTAAAACTCGAGAACGGCTGAACGGATTTATATTATCTTGGTCTTGAAATGGTCGTGAAGATCTAGGGAAGATTTACAAAGTGATATAGTTATCGAATAACAGCCAAAAACTATAATAATTAAGTTTTTTTTTTCATTCCACGTGGACGGAGTCGCGAGCTACAGCTAGTATTTCCAATACTGTTAATTTGCTATTAAACAACAAAAACAAAAGTCAAATATAATTATTGTTTTGAATTTCTAATTTAAAACAATTCCATAGGCTTCTTTTTAATAAAACTAATTAATTATCATAAGATCCGTCTGAATGGAATCATTTAATTAATATTTTATACAAAAATATTTCTTTGATATTCATTTTATGTTCACTTTGATTTCCTTACCGAGAACTAATTGGCACGAAATACGTATATACGTAATATATATACGTATATATATACGTAATATATATACGTAATATACATACGTACGTAACTGAAGCCGTTAGTTTTCCTTCCTATTTTGCATTTATGTTTTCCGAAAACCTTTCGATTGAAAAAAAAATTGAAATCGGAGCACCAGGGGCAGAGTTACGCGTTAACACAGATAAAAAAGAACATACAGACGAATTGATAACCTCCTTATTTTTGAAGTCTGCTAAAAATGACTGTTATGTACTATATGTTGTATATGATACCAATTTAAAAATGCAAATGTTTGGATGTATTGATGGATGGAAGGATATTTGTCAAAAGGTATGTCCAAAACGAGTTGATTGATTTTCCTGAAGACATAGATGTATGACATAGTCTGGAATAACACATTGATTACTAAGTTTTTTCTTAGTTTCGCTAGGAAAGAGACGCATGTGATAGTTATTTACCTAAAAAGATTTTAAATATCATCGTAGGATTTGCGATGTTTATGTAAATAGCTTAAATTGAAATTAGCTAGTTACCTAAAAAAAATATGCATAAAAATTGCCAGAAACTTATAAAATATATTCATAGATAAAAAGGCATAAGGAAAAAAGTTTTCGAGCCGTAGATCTTATCTGAAATGGGCAACGGACTAAAAATGTCTTGAAGATTTATTCAAATACTCGAGACTTAAATTATGATCATGCTTTATGTTATGATGAATGACTTCGCAGAATTCAAGGGAATATTATTTACTTTTAATTTTAATATAATACTTTTTGGAGAAATATTCCTAATATAATATATTTAAATGTGTGAATATTTGATTGGTGTGTGTATGAATACTTCTTTTTAATGTTTAGTAAAATAATCGGAATACAAACTTCTTGAAATGACTGGCCGCATTCACTAAATACACTCTTAAGGGTAGTGAAAATGAGGTCTAAGTCGTCAGTCGCAATCAAGAGGACTTCAACTCAACGGTTAACTCAGATAGCTTTCCACTAAAGCGGCTAGAACATTAATTTGATACGAAGAGTGTGCTGTATTTACGGTAATATACTCTTTGATTATGAAACAGTCAGAATAATAATATAATATCGAATAATAATCGGAATTCAGTAATTTTTATAAAAGATTTCTAGATGTAATATAAATTTATAAGAGGTTAAGTATATGAACTTTTGCACACACTTAACCCATTTGAGCTTCAAGTTTTTTATGTTGTAGTTAAGTTCATTGCATGTTAGCCCATGAGAAAATTAGATTTATATTATTTTAATTTAAAACATATTAGATAAAAAACAGTCGCTTATAGAGGTTTTTAGTTTCATCTAGTCTAGGCTAGTCTAATTACTACAGAGTCATAGGCTTTAATTGTAAATATATTTTTTTACTTTTTTAATTAAATGTAAAGTTACTTATGAGTTTTCATTTATCAAGTTGTGAATAAAAAACAGTATAAGAAAATTTACGAGAACATTTCGCATACATCAACTCCCAAATAATACTCTAGTGAGTAATTTAACACATTTCTAATTAATTTAATAATATTTAAAATGGTTGTGTATAATATTTAAAATGGTGTAAACATTCTTACATTCTTCTT